AATTAAATTTAGCCTTAAACATAATACTTCAATTTGTTATATTTTCATACTTATAAATTTTTTCAAATTATCGTTATTAAATATATGTGTGAAGAAAGTTTACATTAGGAAATAGTTTCAATACAAATAATTAAAAAAGTTAATTTAGATACACCCATGCATATTTTTAATAAATAATTAATTTAATGAATTTTTTAAATGGGAAAATCCTAATTAAATCTAGCTGAAATATTTAAATTCAAATTGAGGCCTAACTTTTAATAAATTCCTAACCACGACGTGAGTTCTAATTAGGGATTGTTAAGTATTGTTAAATAACCATAATGGTCCTTTTTAATTAAAAATGAAAATTGATTATTTTATCCATCTGAGGCGGTTCATCATCTCTTATTACTAATATTTAGACAAAAAATATAAATAATTTTTCAGTGTTTGAAATTTTGTGTGAAGGAATAAAAAATCAGACTATACACTAAACTGGTTGAAATAGTGGTTTAAGGGTCAATGGATCATATCAAGGTCAATCTGGAATCAAACCGATCACATTAAAATAATATAGTTTGATTGAAAATAACAAAATATAACAATACTAATAAGCACTAATAATATAAGGAAATACAATAATAATTTAATTGTAACAATAATAAAGTACAATAATTTTAAGAATATTGATCTTTATGATTCCTTAATAACTAAAATTAATAGTCATTGATATCAAAATTATCATTAAAATTCATTTAAATCTATAATGACTAATATATTAGGAAATGAATGAGAAAAATAAGACAAATAACAATATAATAATTCAAATTGGTTCATTACTGGTTCACACTGGTTTTACCTGTTTTCATTGGTTTGACTGATTCAATCCGGTTCGAATCGGTTGTCGGTTTAGTCTATGAACCAGACCAGACTACTGACCAGTTTTTCGGTTGAACCGACAGGTCCTTTTTTTTTTACTCTATTTTGTATACACTCATCTGATTCTTCATGTAATACTTATTTAATTAATTTGATTAAATTAAAGAAGTTAGGTAAATTAGTTAATTATAATAAATATGACATATTTTTCCTAAAATACCATAATCATCTTCTTTAATATCCCCAATCCCTCTACTATTTATTATGATTGAGAGAATATTAATAGAGATCATTTTAAAAAAATGAAAAATATAAAAAATAGGTGTTATGTGAAGAATCAGATGAGTATATACAAAACAGAGTGAAAAAAAAGGGACCTATAGTAAAAATTGGAGGGGTATAACTAAGACGTTCAAAATATTTTCATAAAACATTTTAAATTATAATATAACTAACTTATATATATATATTTTTAGGTAAATGTTTGTTTTAAGATTCTAAAATATTTTAATTATAAGAAATATTTAATAATAATTTGTAATAATTTAAGTTTTTGGTTTGATCGAACATTACTTAAATAAATAAAAAGAAAAATTAATTTTTTAATCTTTTAACTTTTACCTCACTTAGAACTCAGTACTTCAACTATGACTCGGTATGACTCAATTCCTAAACTTTAGACTCGTTTATGACTCGGTCTCTTATTTTTTTCATTATTTTATATTATCATCCTTCTCATCTATGACTCAGCTTAGGTCATCCTACATGGTAATAATAGGTAATAAGTTATTTCAAGTCAGCTTCACATAATCAAAGAGAAGAGAGAACCGAAGAACACGGAGAAGAGGGGAAAAAGAAAGAAGAGGCAACGAACCACTATAGTCTACGAAGAAGAATTTGAATTACACAGTACAAGGAGGGCTTTGATTTCATTCACGCAGATAAATAAATAGCATCTAAAGAAAACAATTTTATGAACAAATTTTGAAGAGTTTTTTTTAACATTCTTCTCAGCAGAAACTTGCCGCACTTCCTCTATTGGCTGGTTCAGATCCAATCCATCATTCCCTTCGCTTGCAGTAGATGAACCTCCTCCTTCTCCCCACTCTTATTCTCAGCACCGCGGTCTCCTCCACCATTATCTTTACCTAACACACGTTAAATCTCTCTTGAACAGTTCATTTTTTTAATCTCCTTCGCCTACTTCTCTTACCCTCTTTTTGCCCAGCAATGAAAAAAGGTCATGAAAATTAATCAATTCATGAATTCAAACTGATATTCAACTTATTATCAACAGATTGTATTTTCTTGACAATCAATTTAGAAAACAAGGATGGGGTATATGGCTGCTAACATGAATAGAATATATAACCAATTCCGAGCAAGAATGAGAGTAAATGGCTGCCGCCATTTACATAAACAGCAAAGCTTTATTGAAAGCCTCGTTGGGATCAAAGGTAGATAAATTTATAGACATGGAGAGAGGCCGCTTCATTCATCTCCACGTAATTGATCTGAGAGTATAGAGGAGTAGATGCCTCTGCGTGTTCGAGCTTCAGATGCAGCTTAATCTTCTTTCTTTTTTCCCCTTTTCTTCTTGTCTTCAATTCTCGCTTCACCGGTTAAATGGAGCTGACTTGGAATCATTTTTATTACTACTCCGATCCTTAATATAGGACCTAATTATTGAGTTAGTTTTGGTTCTAAATATAAGACCCATTTCTCATATTTGTCAATTTTCTCTAAATTACCCCTATGGATACTCTTTCAACCATAATCAAGTAGAAGAGGAAGATGTGGTATTAAGAAAGATGATTATGGTATTTTAGGAAAAACGTGTCACATTTCTTATAATTAATTAACTTACCTAACTTCCTTAATCTAATCAAATTAGTTAAATGGATCTTATATTAAGGACCGAAAGAGTACTTATTATTGTCACGTAGGATGACTCAAGTTGAGCTGTAGATGAAAAGGATGATAATATAAAATGATGAAAAGGTGAGAGACTGGGATCATAATCAAGTTAATAGTTTAGGGACCAAGTCACACCGAGTCATAGTTAAGAAACTGAGTTATAAGTGAGTTAAAAGTTAAAAGAGTAAAAGATTAATTTTACCTAAATAAAACTAACCTAAATTATAAGAAGTGAAAATATCTATGTAAATGTTACTTATATTTGTAATTTAAAATGTTTGTTTAAAATATTTTTATTTTTGTAAGTTAATATACAAATTACAAACATTGTAAAATTACTTATACATTTGTTTGGTATTAAAAAATAATCATAAGAGATTAGGGATCACTTGAAAGAGGTAAAATAAAGAAGGATATTCTAATTATTTAACAATATCCAGAAATCCCTAATTAGATCTCATGGTCTACTCAGAAATTTGTTAAAAGTGTATGTTTAAATTGAAATTTAGGTATTTTAGGTGAATTTGATTAGGATTCTCCTTTTTCAAATTTACTCAAATTAATTAAATAAATTTTATATTAAAACGGCGGATGAACGCCAGATGTTACTGGTATCTGAGTCGCACTGGCACCCATCGGCAAGAAGACAAGCAGTAGAAGCCGAGCACAGGGGCCCATGTCCCTGGCATGTCGGTTAGGACAGTACACAACGGACACAACTGAGTCACAGGACACTTGCCGAATCTGGCTTTTTGAATTAAAGTAAATCCCCTCCTACATACTATTTTTGGTCAATAATATAAAAACGCGGTGATTAATGTAAGCAGATCCAGAAAATGATACTCCCTCCGTTCCTTATTATAAGAGACGAATAACCGAATTACGTTGATAAAAAAAACAGTTAAAATTAGTTAAGAACAATCAATGTGTAAAAAGTATAATTTTTTTTCCAAAAATGCCCTCATTAATAAGGAGAGAGAACATGAGAGAGAACAATGATAAATTATTAAAAGAAAGAGAAGTAGGAAAGAGAGAGTGTGAGTTGGAGACAATAAATATGGGTAAAATAGAAAATCAACACAAAAAAGTAAAGACAACTTTTAAGTGTCTCTTATATATAGGAACATACCATAAGTATCAAATGTCTCTTATAATAAGGAACGGAGGGAGTACAATACAAAGCCCTTGGAAAAAAACAAAACTAAGATTCATATAGGGGCGCGCCTATATATCTGATGAACATTTTAATGAGTCTCATTATAAAATTTAATTTTGCAGCTCATTTTTACACTCCCCCAAAACTCACTGGTTTATGAACACAATATGGTCATAATAGAAAAATGGAATGAAATACACAAAAATTAAATTTATGAATAAACAACGAGTAACCCTTTAGTTCAATTATGTAAAGACTTTAACATCAAAAAATCAGAGGAGACTACTACACAGTTTTCAGGTTGGCAGCAAAAAACAAAAAAACAAAAAAACAAAATTTTGAGATTCCTTTTCCCAAAAGCAGCCCAAGCCAGCCAACTCTGAATCCATCACTCCTCCCACCCGTTTCGGCCTCCACCTAGAACTATGAGAACGAGTGTTGGTTAGCAGAAGATGCTCCCAGCACTTGAGAAGGAGGTTTATCTGTATGAATGTAGAAAATACGTTCAAAAGATATTCGCAATTAAATCCAAGAATTCTAAAAAATGACCCCATGGCGCCATCAAATATCAACTAGTCACATAAAAAAAAGAAACTAGGAGAACAATAGTTTTACACTTTTTTTTTAATACAAAAGATTTTATACAGGGGTTTGGCTTTATCCACTTAAGCGTGGGCCATTAAAAAATCAGTTTCAGTACTCATCATTTTAACAAGTATCCTAAATTCACCAGATTAGAATCATTCATATTTCATTTAAATGATTCAGATTTAATTTCTTTTTTATTTTTATTTATTAAAAATAATTATTTTAATTTGTATAAAATCTAAAATAAAAATAATCTTTTAACTATCATCATTTCAGAAAATAATTTTTTTATTTAAAAATAATTAATTAAAAATTTTAAATATGAACTCTTCAAATTAAATATAAAGATATAAATCTGACAAGTTAAATAAGTACTAAAACTGATTCCGTACCATAGGCGTTTTCCACCTTTTGTTTTAGGTGCAAAGAGCACGTCCATGGCGCCTCTCTCGTTGGCCCGTTACATAAACGCGGTAAGGGTCCAAAACAAGATAGTCTTTCATTATATTTACACCTTTTGTTTTAGGTGCAAAGAACTTGGAATTTCTTGAGCAACTCAAAATTCTAAAAGCAGCCCACAGTCTATCCCATCTTTCACACACTTTAGCTTGATCTCACCAACACTACATGACTTTCCAGCAACTCTACTACTGCTTTTGCTACTAAACTAGCAAAAGCAAAAAGCAAGCAGATTCAACGATTCTGGTTGCCTACCTTCCATAAACGTCAATACCTGCATCTTTCTGAAGCATTTTACTATTTCAGTCATTTCACTAATGAAGCTCTTCCACGCAAAAATATAAGGGCAGATTAGAGGAAACACGAAGCAACAACCAGTACAAGAGGGATCTACACAAAAAACACAATCTTTCGAGATTCTCATAAACATAACAAATGAACAAAAAAACTTGTCATCAGTAAAAAGAACAAACACCTCTTTCATTTTCCACTTCTTCGATTAATCTCAGTAAGAAGGAGGATGGCGAGCAGGATTCCCCCAGAACACGTCATGTTGCATTTGATCATTGTTTGGTAGCAAATTAGGAGGCAAATTACTGAACATAGGCATCGAAACTTGTTCGTTCAAAGCTTGAGATGCTGAAGGAGGAGGCCCAGAAGTTGCTGAATTCACTCCTGCTGATTGTTGCTGTGTTTTCGCTTCAACTTCTTCCCCGGATGGCTCATCCTCAAGTGGCAATCTCTCATAAGTGGCATTAGCGAATGTGGCTGCAATTACCAACACGGGACCCGACGCTACCAGTGAACCCACCACAGCTCCACCGACAACCTGCCCTTGGCCGCCGGCGAGATACACAGTTAGCCCGGTGGCCCCAGGTGGCGAAGGGGCAGGCAAAAATGCGCCGGATAGAGACAGAATCTCGAACCTTCCATTTAGTGTGATGACTCCACCTGGTGCTGCCGGTTGCCGGAGAGTGACGTTGGTTACGATGCCACTTCCGCTGAGCACTGACACCCCACGGTGTCTCCGGTTGGCGAAGGTGGCGAGGCTCTCAGCAACATCGCTGCCGCTGGAGATTTCCAACACGTGGCTCCGGAGGGCATTAGGACTCTCCTTTGTCACAACCACAGGTGGCTTCGGCTTGTTCTTCGACCCAGCAGGGCGTCCTCGAGGGCGCCGACCAGTGCTTCCCGGCTCCGTGCCGTCATGGCTACCCGGGTTCTGATCATCAGCTTCGCGGCCGTTATCTCGGCTGTCGCCGTCGTCGGCGTTCTGGCTCTGCGAGGTGGTGTTTGTGTTGGCGTTAGTGTTGCTGTTACTGCTATTGGTTGGAGTGGTGTTATTATTGTTTTCCAGAAAGTCTTGTACTCGTACAGCACCGAACCGGTTCAACCCACCATGATCATCTTCCGGGTTTCTCAGATGAAGTGATGGAGAAGACGACAAAGGATCTTTCGGTCTCATTGCCACGTTACCAGCCCACCACCGATTCGCCATTTTTGAAGACCACCGATAAAAATGGAGCCTGTGCTGAACAGGAACAAGATAAGACCTTTGTCTTCACACTCTCTTTTCTGGATGCTTCTATGAATTAAACAAAGATAAACATGACAAAACCAAGCTTCAATCCCTCAAAAGAGAAAGAAAAGTAAACAAAAGAAAACAACTTACAGCTTTACTTTTTTCTGTACTAGATTCAGATCTCCACAACCGACCCGAAAATCTAATGAACACAATCCGAAAATCCAAAATACGATTTTATGTCAAACCGTACGGCACAAATCAGACACCAAGCACATGGGTATTGCTTCCACTGCATGAAAACCCTAACCACACATTAAAAAAGCCCTTCGAATCCGATTTCACATCTACCTAATAATGATTTTGACAGAAAACCCACTTCCTCCACACCAGACACCAAAAACGAATTCCACTATTCAAGATGAAAACAGAAGAAACAGTAGCAACAGTTGGCTTATCCGAATCCCAGCTTCCCCAACACCCTCAAATCCACACCACCGTAAGATTATCGAAGATGTCAAAAACATCAGTGTTTGTTTCTTTTGTACCTCTACGTATAAAATGCCTTTAAGAGGGTTACAGATTGGCACGGGCCAGCAAGCAGGAACAGCGTTGGCAGAAGCTGACTTGTTCTTGCTCTTCTTCTTCGCCGCCACGCCTAGTCTCTATCTGGTGGGTCTCCGAGTTGACTGAGTCATTAATTCATGATGAATCTCTCCCACTGAATCGCTGGCCAATGTTCTGTACTACTGATTTCATTTTCTCGGGAAGTAGTTTCGTTGTGGGGTGTTCAAAGTTTTCGACTTTCAATGATCCCCACTAGTCGGCGCTGTTCCCTGAAGAGACCAGACCACTTGGCTTCTTTCAGACGTGTGAAAGTAGATGATTCTGGATGAGACCAAGGGGAAAAGGAAAAACCAAGAGGGAGATGTGAAATTACGTTAAAGGGCCGGAGGATGGCGGTGGGGGAAGCGAGTTCAGGATTTGGTTTGTCTGGTGCCTTGAAAGGGGGATTATAATGGAACGGGGTGGCTTCATAATTGAGGGGAGACAAGAAGAGCTCGGGCAGCTCGTGGGCTTCGCAAGGGGATGGCCATCGCAACACGTGGAACAGCGATGGCGCACGCTGGCCTGCGGGTGCTGTCGATAGAAGCTGGTGATCCAGTTCCAATGAATGGGTTGCATGACTTACAATTTAGTTTTAAATATAATATTTGAATTTAATTTATTTTCTTAAAAATAGTTTTTGTAGCAGTGCTAAAAGTAGAAAAAATTATTAAAAAAAATCTTGAAAATTAAAAGATTACACATAAAGATTTATTTATAAAAATTACTGCCAAAACTCATACTATTATTATTATGAGTTTCTATTTATAATTTTTTTATTTCAGTAGTTTTTTTTTACGATTTTCTCTTGAAAGTGTGTAAGAACATTCTAAAAAAATAACATATATTTATTATAAACAACTAATTTAACTAATTTTTTTAATCTATTGAAATTAATTAATTAGTTTTATATGGAAAACGGAAAATAGTAGTACTTTCTTTTGTATCTATTTATTTATTTCCATACAAAACATATTGAGAGAGAAAAAGCTTATATAATAAAAGCTGTTAACCAATCTGTGTGAAAAATATTAATTAAGTTATTAAATATGAAAAATAGATTGAGAGTAATAACTGTCACGATAAATAAAAGATAAAATGATATATTTATACTAAAAATTTAAATAAATTGAAAAACTTCTCTCTCTACACACAAAAAAAAAAAGTGGGGAGCGAGAAATAGGAGGGGAGTGTGGTACGCGGCTTGCGCTCGCTTGCCTCGTGGAGGCGTAGGCGCGGTTCCTAATTCCTGGAGTCAGGTAGGACGAAGAGTTGTTACCCATCTCAAAATTGCAGATAAAAGGGATCAATATTTTGTTACTAAAAAATTTGAGTAAAAATTAAATTATAATTTTAAAAATAATTTTATGACATATAAAAATAAGTGTGTGAAAAAAATTTGTCTGAGAATACTTTTAAAACATTTTTTGGGGAAACCAAACATACATCGGAGTTCCCCATGTACGACCAATTGGACTTCTCTCCTTTGCCTCTCTCCTCCGCTGCCTGTCCGCTGCCTAAGACGACGTCGTGCGCAGTGCCATAAAGGACCAAATGGGTGAATGATTCAATGGCGGAGGAGGCGCTGAGTTGGAAGAAAGCTAGGTATTCCAATAATGAATTGTTCGGCAAAAAAATAATAAATTGATATCCTCCCCATATACATTTTATAAAACCACAAAAATTGTCTTTCATTAAAAAAGTAAAAAAATAAATTAATTGAGTAAAATAACTTAGATAAGTAACATTCAGTAGTCTAAAGCATTTTTTAACAACATTCAGTATTATAAAGTAATTATTTATACATTCAACGTCCTAAAATATTTTCCTAATAACAGTTTATGCTAAAATAAGTCTTTATGACATCTAATACTCTAAAATATATTTTTAGAACGACCCACTATTCTAAGTTTAATGTGCTCATGTGCTTATTTGCTACTGACAAAATACTTTAAGGACAAGATTGTGTCAAAAATTATTTTATGATATGGGTGCTACTAAAAAATACTCTAAAATATTATATGCATCAAAAGTTACTTTAGTATACTGAAAACAACTAAAAAAACTTCTAATATATTTTCTTGGTAGCAATAAGAACACTAAACTTAGGATACTAGGTGCTTTTAGAAATATATTTTAGAGTTCCTGATGCTGTAAAAATATATTTTAGGATACATATTGTTACTGAAAAAATATTTTAAGGTGTTAAATGTACAAATAATTACTTTAAAATACTGAGTGTTATGGGAAAAAATATTGCAGAGTGCATTTGTTATTTTTTGCGATTTTTTTTAATAAAAGCCAAATTTTTTGTGGTTTTATAAAATGCATGCGAGGAGGATATTAATTTATTATTAGAACAACTAGCTTTCTTCCAAGTTCCGACTCTGCGCCTCCTCTCCGATCCAATCATTCACTCATTTGGCCTTTTATTGCACTGCACACGACGTCGTCTTAGGCAGCGGACAGGCGGCGGAGGAAAGAGGTAAAGGAGAAAAGCCGAGTCCATGTACGACTGCCTTGCCATGTATGATCAGTGACTTATCTTTCATATGAATCAAGAGCTTGTTTGAAACAAGATTGGCGTCTTTTAAAATTGGTGTTTAATGATAATTTACGACATATTATTTCTAATTTTTACTATAAGAGTTAATTTAATTTTTAATTTAATATTAAATATAAAAACCCAATCTATTTTGACTCTTATATTTATCTATTTTTTTTAATATAATCTTTGTAATAATTACACATGTTAAATGTTCCATTAAATAGTAGTTATAACTAATATATATTTGAAACAAGAATATTTTAGGAAAAAAATACCTATTTATTATAAATAACTAATTTAACTAATTAGTTAACGGCTTTTTATATTAATAACTAATATGTCATCGTTGGATAATAACTATTACCTCCGGTCCTAATTATAAAAGCTAATTGATTAATTTGAGAAAATTAAGGAAATAAGTTAAATTAATTATTTGTAATAAATAGGTGTTGTTTTTCCTAAAATATCCTTACTAATCAAGTGTGTTTATTAGAATTACCATTATTAGAAGGACTACTTTGAAAAAAATACTCCCTCGGTCCTAAATATAAGACCCTTATACTAGTGTGTATAAGGGTCTTACATTTAGGATCGGAGGAGTATACAAATATCAGAGATAAAATAAATTGAAATCTTATATTTAGAATCAAAATAAAAATTAAATAAAATATTATATTAAAGACTGGTAGTATTTAGGATTTTTTTTAATGGATGACTTGAATATAAAACCAAATTAGTGTGCGTATACGGAGGCAGTGGATTCGATGACGTATTAGTACTTATCCTTTTAAATAAAAAGAACAAAGAACGAAAAATATGGATGCTTGCATGGACATGGGCCTACGGCTAGCCGTCACTTTCTCCATGCTTTGACATTTCTTCAGTCTGGACCAAGACCATTTTGTTGAACCTTCAAAAGTCATAATTTGAAATTTTACGCTGCCTATTTTAATTATAAGAGTTAGTTAACTAATTTAAAAAAATTAAAAAAATAAGTTAAATTAATTATCTGTAATAAATATGTGTTGTCTTTCCTAAAATATTCTTACTTAATAAGTTGATTGGCTAGGACTACTATTATTAAATTAAAAGGACTATAATGAAAAAAATACATAAATATGAGAGATAAAGTTTAGGGTTAGTAAAAATTTCACAATATAGTCCTTCTAATAATGATAGTCATAGCCAATCAACTTAATAAGTAAAGATATTTTAGGAAAGAAAACACATATTTATTACAGATAACTAACTTAACTTATTTTCTTAATCTCCTCAAATTAGTCAACTAAGTCTTATAATTAGGACCTGAGGTAGTAATTTACATTATAAAATGAATTGCTGTAAATATATTATATATTATAATTTATAATATTAAATTTAAATTGTTAAAATTAATTTTATAAACCCATTATTGTAATCATTATAATAGATTGTTCCATCTTCACTCTATCCACAGCCAAAACTCACATTCTGATTATCCAATTTGGCTGCTGGCATGCTTATTTAAATTGAAAAAATAAATAGTTTTCAGATAATTTCTCTTTGACCTCATAATTGTCCGATAATTTGAAAAGTTTGTAAACAAAGGGATCTGGTATTTAAACAGTTATGAAATATGTAATTTCACATCTGATAATTTGCAACTTCGATTTTATCAAACGATGACAAATGGCGTGAGGATACGGGAACCTATAATAATTAGAGATAATCTTTAAAAAAATAACCGTTAAAATTTAAATTTTAAAATTAAAAATTACTATAAAAATATATTGTTATTTATTTTTTTGAATGTAATGATTTTCTTTATAAATGTAGTAACTAATACTGATTTAAAATTTTAAATTTCAATTGTCATTTTTTTAAAATTGTTTCTAATAACGATTTTCTTTTTTTTTTTGGGTGTAGAAAATATAATTATTTCCCCATAGTTAATAATAACATATTCCACCTTTACTGTGATCTTTTCATGAATTCAAAGTTCAAACTCAACTTTGTTGTTGTGGTCCAATCACAAACAGAGAGCTCAAAACTCGGAAAAGAAATTTGAATCCACTGAGCATTAAAAATAAGGAGTACGAATCAGGATTAAAATTAAAAAAAAATTATTAAAAGAATATTTAGTATGAAAACTTATTTATTATATAGAATTGGACAAATATATATATATATATATATGTGATTAGAAAATATCATGGGGAGCAGATGGTACTTTCCAATTTCACCTATATGAGTTTATCTAATCCCATGTAAGCAGTGGAGACAATGTTTCACAGCTTGCTTCTGCTAACAGAACTGACAAGTGTTTATTCATGTTAAATACTTTTTAAATGATTTTTCTCAATTAAATTTCAATTCTTATCTCTTATTTTCGATGTTTCGTACCAAATAGGATCTTACATTTTTCCCATTCCTAACTTATTTAATGAACATTATAATCAATCAATTCTAATGCTCCGGTCCTAAATGTAAAACCTAGTTAATTAATTTGAGTATATTAATTATATTAGTTAAATTAATTAATATGGTATGCTTTTCCTAAAACATTTTAATTATCTTTCTCAATTCATTTCCTCTTCCTACTTAATTATTGTTGAGCGAATATCAATGACGTTAATTTAAAAAAATTTATAAATATGTAAAATAGATAACTCTGGTTAAAAATTAAAGGAAAAGAAAAGCAATAGAAGAATTGGTAAAACGATGCTCAACAAGTGAGATTTATACTCTGTAGTTGGATTTGGCTAGAGAAACGAGCATGTTATAAAAGTTGGGTAATTTTAACCGTTCTGATTCTAATACCAAAACATATGTTAAACTTTCGTTAACATTCTTTTGAAATTTAATAATTTTTTTTAATTTTATTCTCATTTAGTATACGTCATAATGAGAATCAAACCAACATAATAATAAATAAATGATAAAATTGTATAGTTATAAAAAAAAAATTCTCTATCTTATAAATAGAACTAATTTTTTTTTTTCTCTATTCTATATATCGGATCAGAAGTGGATATTTCTAAAAGCACCTCAGAATAATTATATTATCCACAATTAATAAATAATGTGACTTTATGCGTATAGTCAGTGTCAATTTTATTGGTGGAATTGAAGAATTTTGAAAGCACTCATTTGAATAGATCAGACTTTGAGGCTTTGTATTGACTATAGGAGTCAGATGATAGCTTGGTCAGAGAATGCAGGGCAGCCTCCCAGTTTCACATTCTTCATGTGGCTGGTTTTTTTTTTTTTTTAAATGAAGAACGAAAAATCTTTAACTCCTCGCTTTAACTAACTTGGTAATTTAATTTATTTTTTGGCTTTTTGCAATGTTAAAATTTAATTAATGTCAAATAGGTTAGACATTATAGTTATTCAAACACAAATTATCTTTGGCCAAAAAAAAAAAACACAAATTGTCAAGAAAGAGGTATTGAAGGACAACACTGCTGTTTCAAATGCCACGATGAAGAAAAGAATGAGAATGAGACAAAAAGAACCACGAGAATGTCTGTTTGATTATTTTCTGGTAAAAATAATGAAGTTTAATAAATCAACATCAATATAAAAGATATAATAAATATTCTCTCTCTCTTCTTTATAAAACTGATGTGATTCTGCATTATAAAACGAGTCTTACATTTAGGATTAAGAAAATATACATTTTATTTAAATACTAATAAAGATTCATAGCAATGAGAATTAAGGGCTAATAGCAAACGTGGATCATGGTAGAGAAAGTTGTATTCTTCTTAGTGCTTACTTTGGAGTATTTAAAATGAATGCTTTAGAGGCAATACTTTTCTCATATTTTCACATGTTTGCCTTGTAAAATACAAAAAGGTTATTTATTCACGAAACATTGAGTATCCCAAAGTTTTTCTTTGTAACTAATTTATCTTAAAAGTTTAAAATCGTAGCAATATTCTCTCATAATGTTAAAAATGTTAACTGTTTATATTACTACTTTAACAGTAGAGAGTAATATTGTTATGATTTTAAACTTTCTGGGTAAATTTGCTCTTAAAAAACTTTCAGCTACCTAGTACTCATGAGTGAAAACTTTTGAGATAAATTTACACCTTAACCTAATATAAAATCACTTAAAATTAGTTTATTCAAAAAATAAAATGAAAAAAAGAATGCTATCTGTTTATTTAGGGTTTAACTTGATTAAACTCGTTTTGGGATTATAAGTGGACACTCCTAGAATGCTCATTCGTACAATTTGAGACAGAAGGGCATGTGGTGGGGTCTATGGTATTGATTGGGCAATTGAAGTTGGTATGACAATATATGTGAATTGTCAACTAGGAGAACAAAGTAGATTTGTTTGGTACATGGTAGGCTTGACTTTGAGGCCCAAGTTTGAAATTATTAATTTCTCGAATTACTTTTCAAATCTTAAATGGCAACATTTGATTTGTCAAGATGCTTGAATTTTTGGTGCTCACCCATGTGACCTTCACGTGACCTTTACAAGAAAACATTGTGGACTCTGTTTGGGGCCCTCTCTAAGCGGGAATTGGAAGTCCATTCTTATAAGCAAAGTCCTCGAGTTTGATCCTTTTTGACTAAGGCAACCACACACCAGAAGTCGCCCCTCATCCTAAACCCCCCTGCCCCACCAAAGAAGGAAAACGAAGGAAACGAAGTTTAAATTGCTATTTTTGGAAAAGGAAGGTAGTACTGGGAAAACGGGCCGGCCCGTGACGGGCTCGGGCTTAAACGGGCCGGCCCGTTTAAGCCCGAGTTTAAAAAATAAGTCATTTTTTCAAGCCCGGCCCGTGAGATGACGGGCTCGGGCTAGCCCGCGGGCTTTTGATCTTTTAAATTAAAATAATTTTTTTTATTTTTTTGTATATTTTATCAAAATAATAAAAATGAAACAATAAAAATTACTAATAAAAGGTATAAATATAAATAAAATTGAGTCACAAATATAAATATTATCATGTCTAAACATATATTACAGTATAATAAAGTCTATTGAATAAACAAACTAAATAGAGGACAAATATAAACAACTAAATAAGCATTAAGTTCAGTAGATAATTACAATGCGGATAATCTAGTTTGATTATAAATAATTAACAAAAAAGTTTAACTAACAAACATAGTATACATAAAGAATAATCATTTATCATACCGACAAAAAAGAAAAAAGTCCATCATTCTTAGTTCTAAATTTGTTTCTACTATAAAAATGATATAGATCTTTATTTTAGTTTAAAAGATTTTTTGATCAATTATATTTCAAGTATAAAAAATATGGGAGAATGATAAATAAAGACTGTAAAAATTATAGATACAGTATTTTAATAGGTTTTGACAACTTATAAATAACAATATATTTTTATGAATATACTAGTTTTAAATTTTGCAATTTTCATGTTTTTTTGGTTATTTTTCCCACAACTATAGTGATTCTTTTTTTCTTTTTGTGAATGCTATCTATGTGAGCTGCCAAGATAAGTAAAACTAAGAGTATGCTATGTTTAAAATGTTAGGGTTTTCTTTTTTAAGTTAAAAAAAAAAGACAAAAATTAAAAAAAAATAATTTGGCGGGCCTAAACGGGCCGGCCCGCGGCCCTACAGGGCCGGCCCGTTTATTTTTCGGCCCTACAGGGCTAGCCCTTTTAAGCCCGACTTCCCTTTCAAGACTCCAAAATACAAGCCCGGCCCTCGACTTAAACGGGCTTAAACGGGCCGGCCCGACGGGCTCGGCCCGTTTTCCCGGCTCTAAAGGAAGGCACAACATTTTGTAAGTAAAGAACTGAAAAAAAAAAAAAGAAGATAAGAATATTTGCAAATATGCACGTTATGAACCTTTTATTTTATATTTAAAAGTTGTGCAAAATCTAATGAATGACTCCTCATTATTCATACTTATGTATAACTTACTAAATTTTTTATATTTTATACTGATATTAAGAAGTGGGATTGGGGATCATGAACCTAATAAAGCGCAACTCAACTTCCAACATTTCTGGCTTGTATGGGGATATATCTATTGTAGGATCTCTTTTTCTGGGTCTGAATCTATTCTAGGAATTGAGTTCTCTTAAATAAGATCCCTAATTGACGTTTTAAAATTACCAAGCCTTCAAATTGTCATTATCTATCTCTCTCAGTGCCAAAATGTCGTTTTTATTCCAAGAACAAATCACAAAGTGATTTTCACAAAAAAAAAAAAAACAAAAGCGACGAGACTGATTGTTCTGATATAATGCCACTGGTATACTGTATACACGCTGAGAATTTTTCCCATCGACCTTGGGAAATAATAATATGCACACTGCGGGGATACGGATGCTTAAAAATTTGAGCAGGACTAATGTTTCCAAGCGCCAGCCCCACTATTCACTATTACAGTTTCTCAGTGGTTCTTTCAAGGACACCAATCCCAGTGAGCCGTGCGATCATGACATTTTTTTTCCCCACTGTGATTATAACATAACTTGTGAAGAGTTTCTTAACGACTCCAGTTCCACCAATTTGACAGCTAATTACCCAAAGGCAATACAATATTCATGAAAACACTGTATTTGAAGCTTTCTATTTTCAGTAAGCCCCATAGAGCTGGTTGATATCACATCTGTATTGACATTACTTCCTATGGTGCATCTCTACAAGAACCATAGGAAGATCAGGCAATGCAACATCAGAGCATTGGAATTGAAAAATACAAATCTACAGGGTAAGTCTTGCCAGTTTGGAAGAACCTACAAAATTGAATCCTACAAGAAAAGGTTCAAAGGTTCCTCAAGCAAGAGGAAGAATCTCGAGTCTAGATGGCTAACACTCTGCAATTGCTCAACAAACATCTTGGGACGGAAAAGCTTGAAACTCAGCAAGACATCCTGATAAACAGGATTTTGTTTTCGGCCAACGCTCTTTTTTGGGCCAATGTTTAAAACAGGGTTTATCTCTTCTTCTTTCCACTTTTCCCAGGTTTGTTGTTGGAGGTTCCGGCTGATGTTGACACGGGCTCCTGCTTTTTTGCCCTTCCATGGTGTCTGGGTACCATTTCCGCAATGCGAAGCATTAGACTTTTTCCTGTAACACAAAGCGAAAAATGAGCGACAGGCTCAGTATCATCCAATTTGAGGTAGTAATGGAGCAAAGAAAGGTTTGGGTAAATTATTTTTCCCATCACTCCATGATTATTTTAAAGATAATTGGAATTAAGCATTGCCAGTACACTGGGCCTTAACACCAGCGTTTTCATAATTCAATGTTAATACAAGTAGTTTTGGCGTATAGGTGAAACTATTTACTGCCACAGATTAAAAACCCTGGATGTCATGGGAAACACGGGACCCAGAAGGCATTTCTTGATAAACAATATTTTCCATAAACGGCTGTCATCCATTAAAAAGCAACTTGCTTGATCAGATGATATTGAGATTCTTTAACACTAGTAACTACATTAACAGTGTCCAAGCCCAGGTTACTTAAATAAATTAGCAAATCTACCTTCCATGATGAACTAAACCAGATTTGGCAATTAAGACTAGTCCACCATTCTCAGACCATAGAGAGCATGATTATATTCAAGTTTGCTAATCAGACTTCCAATCGTAAGAGACAATTTATAGTTTTATTCAACATTATCTTGTCTTGTTCTAAGCTTTCCTTCTCTGACGTATAGGTGAAAGACTGGTATCTGGTCTTGTACCACCTCTAATTCAAGGGCTAGAATGTAACATTACTAGGACTTTTGGTGCAGAACCTTAAAATCATCCATACAGCTAGTTCAACCCAAAATACGGCTTTCACAGAAAACATGAAAATGAATTGCACTTAGAGTATTTGCACATCAGCAAATCCTCGGAGCTTAAACATACAACAGCGTTAGTAATGATCTCTCTAGATACAAATGAATCAACTACTTTGCTGGACTAACCACTAACGTAGTAAAATATCCAATCAAGACAGTAACTACTCAAGCAATCAACAAATTTGTATAAACAATCTTCATGAAAAATTGAAACACCAGCCTCTCTCTGTCCAAAACCTGCCCACCTTTGGATTTTTCACTTTTCTCTTCCTTTCTCTCTGCTCTACTTCTTTTTTCCTTTTTTTTTTTTAAGAAAATCTTCTGATTTGGTCATTGGGTTCAATGCTTAAAGTCACTACCGTAGACCCCCCCCCTTTGGGGGCCAACTACCACCCTAGAAATTGAAAAACCCAAAAGCAGGGGAAAAATATCGATATCAATGTTAAATCATCCATATCTAGAGGCCAAGTACCCAAGATACATAGTAAAAATGTAGTGAGGTTAAGAGTCATCTTTCCAATTGTCTAAGGACCAGCATAAAGATATCTTTCAACAATAAAAGTCAAATTCTATAGCAGATGATTTTGACAAATACATTTTGATTGCACTTTTTCTTTGTTTTGGTAAGTGAGGCCAAGTCCTTTTGACCAAAAAAAGAAAAAAAGGTGAGGTCAAGTCCTGACGAAGGCCAATGAATAGTAGCACTTTGTTTGAATAAGCTTCCCGTTATTCCTTTTACTGTATGCTTGGAAAATAAGTACCCATTTCTATTGGCACGTGTTTCTAAATAAGCTACCGATTTTAGCTTCTAAGAAAATACCATATAAATCAATAATTTCCTGAAACCTTAATTTTTCAGTTCTCCAACGTTTCTTTGAAAACAAAAGAACAACTGCTTAGGACACATTATGCTGAAGGCTGTAGCAAAAAAGAAGTTGGATGAAAGTGATCAAATTACAGTGATGATTCAGATTCACTCAAAGATTATATGACAATCCATGTATTATAAGCACCGCACTAAGAACTGTATATATGGCTATCTTACTGGATGTAATGGAAGGATTATATAGAGTCCCATCCTCCTTTTTTAGCAATACCCGCACTCTCCCTCGTTGCATAAAATCACGTGGGTATGCCTTGTCTATCTGCAGTTGTCAAAAAAGTTACATTAACCCACTACATACAGTCCGGTCAACAGACAGCATATGAAGGGAACATGCAGATACACAAAAGAATTGGGAAGATAAAGCACAGAATAAATTCAAACTTAACAACAACAGGTCAAATTATACAACAGCAAACCTCAATAGCAAAGGGAAGTTTAAGATAGCTGCAGCAATCACCAATTTCAGCACAAGTAGGATTTTCACAAGCCTTGCTCAAGCCAATTCTCCTTCCTTCAGCCACTGTCTTTTTTGAATTCATGTAAACAGGATACAAAACAATCCACTTCTTTATATTGGGTAATTCTCCTTCCATGGTCCTGATTGAAATTTTACAAGACCATTACTAATATGGCTAAGACAAACATAAATATGCGTAATGAGAGCAGAAAATCCCGCAAGGCACAACAATAAACTATAATGACCACTTCTTTTATTACTAATTGCCAAAAAGATGTTCTTTTAAGAAAACAAACTAACTTGAAATAAATGTTCAACAGAAGAAAGACCATATTTCAGATCATTATAGTCACTAATCTCGGAAGAAAAAGGAGAAACAAGCAATTTTAGTTATGAGATCATATTTCACAATCAGAGCAGTCACCAAAGGCGCTTGCCTGATCCCCCTTGAAAAGGCACCCAAGGCATTTAGCTTTCGGGGCCTGCCTTAGTGCTAAGCGACTTTTACTAAAGAGGTGTTTGGATGGAACCTAAACCATGATTTCAAAAATGATTTTATGGTATACGAAATAAATATGTAGAGGAGTTTGCCTTGATTTGCGGGAAAAAACTTTTTAAAAGCACTGTTCTCAAATGCCAAACACCCCCTGAGACTCATTGATTGGTTATAGTGGTGTGGGCCTTGAGAGAGACTGCAAGGATACTGGTATCAGCATCAGTGATGATGCAGAATAGAAACTCCTAAAAAATAAAGAAACTTATGTTTAGAGCTATATCCCACCACCCTTGTGACTGATGAAGAATGGTAAATCTACTGTCAATCAAGGAATGAGGCACTTGTTATCATAGAGCCTACCAAAGTTAGAGCTTATTCATCTTCAAAATAATTGCCGTATTGTTAGGACTCCTGACCCTGCTGCCTGCCAAAGGATCCTCTCCAGGGGGCCGTGGGCGATCCTACAGCACTAAATAGCTGTTCGGAAGCGGTCACCCAATTTCACTCCCAACTGCCAAAGAAAACTTGCCAGTTGGTTCAGGATTTCTAATCTACGCATTCAAATATCATGTTCATCATCTCCATACCAGGCTGGTTAATTGTACAGGGAAGAGATTAAAAGTGGATTTTAAAACTCTAGCTCAGGAGGAAAAGGAAGAATGAAAGACAGAGAGGAGACGAAAGGACGCATCAGTGTGGAAATAGACCTCCCAACAAGTCGCAAGGACAAGAGCTCTAAGCTACTGGGACTTCCTAAGATACAAAATCGATGCAAAAGTCTGCGCCCATACGATCCACAGGAATATTGGCAATCCGTCAACATACTGAAAATGAGCTGCCAGTCAAGCAGCATCATGTCCTCAACAATATGTATGAGAAAGAAGTTCCAGATTTAGGCTAATCTCATTTAATGACAACTGAACAAAAACACTTGAGTTAAGCTCGATCTCCTCAATACTCGAACTTGCTTTTGGTGCGGGTGTTACGGGCATAACAAGGATTAAATTCACATAACAAAGCAAATCAAACAAGGCAGGAAAACAGTTCAGCCGAAAAACCAATCAAGCCAAAGAGACCTTGCACGGAGGAGAAGGTTAAACAAAAATCACCGGATAAGGAAGAGCACGGACCTTGGATGATAAGCTGGAAAGCCTCTGCGAGCTCGAAACCTGAAGGTCGAAGGACAGCCCCGGGGCACACGGTTTGCGAGGAAGAGGACCTGCAAGACCTGAAATCTCACACGATTTGAAGCCCCAGCTGACCAGTCGCAGAAAGATATCTCGATCGCAGGAACAACGCTTCCCAGGGCCGCGGGAGAGCCTCAGGCCATCGAACCCGGAGGCAATGAGGGTTTGAAACGACGTCGTATTGTCGCGGATGAGGGTACTGCCTAGTTTTTTTTTTTTTGCTATTTATTGGGGAGGGCTATCGACGACCCAAAGAGAAAAAGGCTTGGGAATTGGGCCTCAGCTGACTAAGGGCCCAGTAAGAACGGGCTAAAATGGTAAGGCCTGATTTTTCTACCGTGACAAACGAAACGGGTAACAAGACTCCTTTGTATCCATCCAATGCGAGTGACTCAGCTGCCGAAGAAAAATCTGTTCAGAAGCGGAAAGATTCAAAAGAAATCTCACTGGGGTAATAACCAAGAGAAGCACGGCTACCATCCCCATAGGATGGCAACAAGTGACGCCTCCTAAATCTCTTCGAGGTTTAGGCTTTAAGCGTTTATCTGCTGTTAATTCTGCTTGTGGAGCAAAGCTTGCTTGGAAGCTTATTCTTGGTGAGGAAGGATTCTGGGTGGATATTCTGAGCCAGAAATGCATGCTTAGAAATGAGGACAACTTGCTCACTGCAGCTTCTGGAGACTCAAAGCTGTGCAAGTTTATATGTCAGCAAAAGGAAGTAACTGATAAAGGTACCCGATGGCATTTGAGAGATGCGAACTCTATAAACTGCTTCAATGATTTCTGGCTCTTTCCAGGTGCTTGCCGGAATTGTCAGTAGAGGAAAATGGAAGCGTAGTTAAGGGCTACTGTGCAAAAAGAGAGCTTGGGACTTAGTTGTATTTTTGGGCTTTGCCTTCGTTAGTACCCCAAAAAAAAAAAAAATACACAGAAACGGGTAACAAGACATATTCTTCGGATAAGAATGAATGTGAGAATAACAATGGGGCTGGATCTAAAGAAATGAATCAGTCCCTCGTTTAAATACATTAAAACCAAAATGAGATTAACTTAAAAAAATGCTGATAAGTTATAATTACATTAACACCTAAGTACAAGAGTTAGATATGAAAGGACTACTTAATCCTCTTCGGTCTAGATTAAAACAAGATAAACCATAATAAATAAATCGCAGCTGCCTCCCGTGGTGTTTGGAAATGCCATCCACGGAATTATTTGGAATGATGGTAAGATTTCTTTAATACTCTTCCGGTTCTTAATATAAGACCCATTTAACTAATTTGATTAGATTAAGAAAATTAGGTAAGTTAGTCAATTACAAGAAAAGTGACACATATTTCCTAAAACACCATAATCATCTTTCTTAATACCCCCTCTCTCTTCTACTTAATTATGGTTGAGAGAGTATCTATAGGGGTAATTTAGAGAAAATTGATAAATATGAAAAATGGGTCTTACATTTAGGATCAAAACCAACTCAAAAATTGGGTCCTATATTAAGGACCGGAGGAGTAGTATTTTTTTAAAATCATAATTTATAAAATACAAGATAAAGATATAAACAGAATTTTGCCTTGATTTATGTAAATGTACTCATAAACACTTAACATAAGTATCTCCGAACAAACAATACAAACATTGAACTTGCATCTTCTCCTCCTTGAGAGCGAATTAATTCTCCTCCCCCCGGAGCCATCTATTGGTGCTGATTAGGAGAAGGAATTATTATTGCTTTACTATGTGATTTCAATTTCACCTAAAAACTTACAATAAAATATCGACGTATGAGTGGGGTTATTTTGCTTGAGTATGAGAAATGTATGATCTTTTCATATATCGTGCTTGCTTTGCTTCTCTGGTTATTTAGTATAATCAATTTTTAAGGTCTTTAATAATAAAAATAATTACGGAGAGTTGTAATGAAATTGTAAATAAGAAATATAATTATTAAAATTTTTTAATAATAACAAAGCAATTTACAATAACAAGTTTCAAAATAGTAAATGACAACTGCTCACTTATTATTAGGATTTTAGTTATTGTTATTAGGATTTTAGTAATAATTATTTTTTTTCTTGGAAAATCATTTTAACTCTCCCTAATAATTATTGCTTCTTTTTTGGTCCTGGGCTGTAATTTGACGCCGTATTTTAAAAGCGCATAACGAATTAACGAACCTAACATCGCGATAACAAAGTATTTAACATTATCCACAATCCCACGTGGTCTTGGCATAGCTTTCATCCTGTCACCACTCACCAGTCACAACCCACGTCTCGCGAACTCCATCTGTGAGCAATGGCTCTTCTTAGCGTCTCTATGAGTTCCAAATTCCCTGCAGAACCTCTCCTCACGTGCCCTCGTCCCTCCATTTCCGACTATCCTTCGCCTCTGGTTGGTAGTCTACGCTATCCCGTCTTTCTCATTTTTGGTTTCTCTCTGCTGAAGTTGAAGAACTGTTGCACTTCGTTCCGTTTGGTGATGTGGGTTTCTTTTACAGGCTCTTCCATTGAAGCAACGCCCCGAAGCTTCTAAAAAACTTGCACTTTCATTGACTGAATCTGTGTCCACTGCAAGCTTGGCTGCTCTCCTTTCTGTTTCTTTATTCGTCGTTGATCCCGCACTCGCCTTCAAGGTATTTGATTTAATCCAAAATGCAACTGTTCCTGATGAGAATTTGAACCCTTAAAAAATTAGGACCCGTTTTGTGGTTTCAGTTTCTACAGTAATTTACTGCCTTCGGAATTGTTGTTTTGTTGATGGATGTGGCAATCATGAGTTTAAAGTGCAGGGTGGAGGACCATACGGGCAGGAGGTGACAAGAGGGCAAGATCTCACTGGGAAGGATTTTAGTGGCAAGACTCTGATCAAGCAAGATTTCAAGACGGTGCATTTTTCACTTTTAGTTCTTTGAAAAATTAGAGTTAATCTGATTGGACCATATGTTGTGTTTGATGGAAGGCTAATGAGTCACCCGTTATGTGCTCCAGTCTATATTGAGACAGGCCAATTTTAAAGGTGCGAAGTTGCTAGGTGCTAGCTTCTTTGATGCTGATTTAACAGGTATGATTGAAAGCGGATAGCATTTATTGATTCAATTACCCGTAGATCGTATATAGTTTTGATTTATGTAGTGTTTTAATTTGGCATTCTATGCTTATCTGCATTTGTAAAGCTACTGATCATACTAACGGGAGGCTACATTCAGAAATTGAAATTCTCACAGTCCTAAGAAACTACTTATGACAAATGAAACGCCCTTTTGGCAATGAAGTTATTTATTATTTAAAATTTCGAATGAAAAACACCAAGCAGCTAAGTGATTACATAACAAACCTCGGACTACCCTGCGTCTCTCTTTAGACTTAGCTGTTTCTTCATATGCATGCAATTAATAAAAGCGCCTTTTTACTACTGCTTCCACGTGTTGTCAGGGGCTGATCTTTCAGATGCTGATCTTAGAAGTGCTGATTTTTCTCTGGCAAATGTGAACAAGGTAAACTCGTTTGCTGTGTTGATAGGGCGGTCCAGTGTGTCACTGAAATTATCGTTACATCTAACTGTTTTGATATTTGTGCTGAAGGACTAAATATATATTGTCTTAGGACCTAATGGACTATAGTTTAGAATAATTTGCATAAAGACTTAATTAGTTCTTTATTGCCCTGCTGTGCTCTCACTCCTATCTGGTACAGTTTAGATCAGTTTATCAATGCGATTATGTTCCCCTTTTTTTTTCCTTGTTTGCTTTCCTTAATGCACTAGCTTATGAAAATTTGCATATTTGACTGACTGCTACCTGTTCCTTTCTATGTTTATACTACCTCTGGTCCTAATTATAAGAGCTAATTGACAAATTTGAGGAGATTAAGGAAGTAAGTTAAGTTAGTTATTTGTAATAAATAGGTGTTGTCTTTTTTAAAATATCCTTGCTAATCAAAGGTGTTGATTAGAACTACCATTATTAGAAGGACTACTTTGGAAAAAATGCATAAATATTATAGATAAAGTGGATTGGGGTTTTATATTTAGGACCAAAATAAAAGTCAAATGATGTATTATATTAAGGACTGGAGGTAGTATTATTTAAGAACAAGTGTTGATAAATATGAGATATAGCGTTGATGTGACAGATCATTCATATGATAATCTAGCCACAATTTAAAATTTAAGAATATCTTAACTGCACATACGATGAGAAGGAAGGGTTGTAGATTATCAGGTGTTAATAGCCCAATTTCACAATATCTGGTGTCCTCTGAATGCATCATTACTTTGTGCAGGCAAATCTGAGCAATGCTAACTTGGAAGGTGCCCTTGCAACCGGAAACACGTCTTTCAAGGGAACAATTATAACTGGCGCTGGTATGCAGATGTACCACTTATTATGTACTTATATTGTATTTAAGGGTGATATAATTTAAACATAGAATTGATCTTTTAGCATTATAAAATCAGATGCTTGTATTGGTTGGTGGATTACATAACAAATGGAGGCAGAAAGGAATGGGATGGAAAATAGAATGAAAAAAGTGATTTTGAAGATGGGAAATGACCCTCATGTTATACCATTGAGTAATGAGATATAATAAACATTGCACAGAGAAGGTAAAAAGAGAATCTTTTTTTGACCCTTGTTACCTAATGGGGCTTTAAGAGTATACAAACAATTTGGTCTATGAACTATCAAGTTTATTTGGCTTCAGTACCTGAAATTAGCGAACGCATAATTAGGGACCAAATAGTTCGTTACCGTTGATTTATTCCCCTTTTCCTGGCTGACTAATGAATGTACAATTAAGATCATGGGCACCAATGGACACGGACTAAAGCAGAGGAGGGCTGGGCTCAGAGAAAGAAGAGAACGTAGATGAGAAAAAATTATTAGAAAGCATGTTTGCTGATGAAAAGAATTCCAAATCTGATTGTATGAGACCTCTTTTTGCAGCCAAACCATGGTCAATTATAGCATTCTACATTATCAGAATGAATTCTTTTCAATTTCTTATTAATTGGTCAATTAGATATAGATAATCCTATACAAATGACGCTTACTAAATTGAAGGCAAAATACATTTCAGTATCTCGTGGTTTAGCCCATTCGGGCTGCTGTTTAGACCGTTAGCGCATCGGGACCAATGTTTTTATTTTCCTCTGCTTTGCTGATCAGTCACTAGAGTGAACTTCTATATCACAATCTGAAGTTTTAAAATGTATCTGTGAGTTCTAGTGACAGTTATCGATTGTCTGCTTGTTATAATGACCAGACTTCACAGATGTGCCATTAAGGGACGACCAAAGAGAATACCTGTGCAAAGTTGCGGATGGGTAAGATCATACTCATATATTTGCACTCTGATTTTTCTGGATATGCTTCATAACTCACTCAGTGAGTAACAAAGCTGTTTGTTGCATTAGGGTGAACCCAACAACTGGAAATGAGACGCGTGAGACATTGCTTTGCAATTAGCATTCCATTTGCTGAGAACATCGCTACATTGAGTCAAATGGCCATTCATGGATATCCTGCTTCTCGGCAGCTGCAGTTTTTGAATCATTGCAATAGATCTCTGCTTTACTGGGGAGGAAGGGATTTTGTCCTGTTGCATGCCACGTGTCACACAATACTCTTTGATGATTTATGTGATTTCTGGTTTATCGTTCTTTCTGATTATTACCCAGTTTTCACACTAATGAACCAAGTAGATGTCTTCTAGACTGGACATGACAGATTATGAAAGTCAAAAGCAATGAATTTATGATTAACCAATGTTTTGTTAGTGTTATTTGTATTGGTAAAAGATTCTTTTATATACCATGTTTACTTCCAATAGCTTACGGTTAAAATTAATATAAGTTGGTCTTCAGCCAAACTGGTTGATTATACTATCTCAAGATGCAATGATGTGGCATCTCGTGAAGCTGCCACGTCATCCACATTCTCGCAATCTATCCTTCACATTGCACAAGGTCCTCACGAGGTTAAAAGTCAAAACTCTGCACCGTTGAGCTAACAACGTAAGTTGATAATGTTTTACATATTGTTGAAACTTGAAAGCTTTTCCTTTCTTTACATTACTTGACAATATTTCAATAATCAAATTCAAATAAATATCTCTTTGGCAATACAATTCAGGTAAATATTATATATATTTATATGTATATAAATAACTCCACATAATTTACAGAATGGTGAATAGTCTGCTTGTATGACATTAAGATATAGTTAAACTACAAATTTTAAGAAGTAAGTAATAATCTATTCTCTTAATGTTAATTTTTTAAATGAAAAATTTTCAATGTCCTTTTCATCGAATTATAATTATAATTCTTAAATTATTTTTAATTGTTTGTGTAAATTTTACTTGAGGATCAACACCATGGTTATTCAATTTTTTTTCCTTTTGATGGGGATGATTATTCAACTATTTAGAATATATGCTTAAAAATAAGAATTTTTTTTGGTAAATTAAAAATATATAATCTTTTAGATTAAATTTAATTTCAAAATAATTTTGATGAAGCGCTTCTCCATCAAATCATACCATTTTGCACGTTTTATTTTTGTTAAATATTTTATAATTTATAACCAGTTTGTACTTTATAAGCACATTATTTTTAATCTTACTAAATATAAAATATATGGATAGATTAATTCTCAATAAAAATGATAATTAGTGGTTAATTACAAAGACGGAGCAGAGTCTCTTTCAGAAATTTATGACGAGTACAACGAGAGGATCGAAATAATAAATGGAAAATATAGTTGGGGGTCAAAAAGGGAAAAAAAAAAAAAAAACGTATGGGTCTGGGGGAAAAGGTTCAACGGCAGTAGGAGAAAGGTCTCAACAAAGACTATTGGGAGCTCCTCACTCCTCAAGCATAGATTTCCAGTTTTGAGGTAAGTCGTCCCGGGCGAGATTTCTCTGTAATGTGCCTCTCCGGCTTCAGATTCATGGGCTTAACCGAGGGATCGAAGTAAGTTAATTTCTTTTCCTTCGTGCGTTTTGATCTCCATCTTCATCATTTGTGCTTTGTTGTTGCTTTTTTTCCCTTTCTTTTTTTCTTTTGAGCTTTTACATATGCTCATCATCATTTTATTTACGTTCATACTAGAATAATTTGGCATCAAACACCGAGCATAGTGTTGCGGACCTTTCTATGCCGAATTTTTTTCGGTGCCGCACGGATTTTAACCCAAGAAAAAAAAAATTGTGGATGCAAAAAAGATTGTTGTTTGCATCATTGAAGAGTGAAAAACTTATGGGTTGAATAAAAAAGTAAGATTTACATTTAGATCTAAGGATTTTGAGGTTTGGACAAGCTGTGATCATGGTTTATAGCTGAGTGCATATGAAGTACTTGGCACGACAATGTAATTTAGCTATTCTGCACATCCTGGTGTGTTTGTGCGCGCGCTGTTTTGGACGGCCTGGGTAGAAATTTTGGAATCCAATGCTTGCCAATTTCTCAGAGTATCTGATCAAAGTTCGTTAGCAATCGTTTTTGTACTCGGATGCAATTTTTTAGATGTTTTGTTGAACTACGTTATGCTGTTTTAACTAAAGGTAGGATGATCCAATTAAAATTTTGAGAGTGGTGGAAGACTTGGTAATTAGATCAGTTTTGCGCGAGTAACATAAGAAGGATGGCTGGACAATGGTTGAGGTCGGGTTACATTTTGGCAGCTAGCTATGTTGCAGTTTTCTTTTACTTGACGTATATAAACTATAGGGGTTATGTCAAGGGGATAAAAAGCTTGATCTGTCTTTGCATGCGGAAAACTGGACTAGTCTAATTCTGTCACCTGCAAATGCATATATGTGCACATTAATTTTCATATGGTGTTTTCAAGTTATTTAGCGCAAAGTAACCTTATTTCATTGAATCTATTGTCTCTTTGGACTTCATAGAAGGCGTCTGTGAGGAATTGGGTTCATCTTAGCTTTCCACTGGTAAACCTCTAGAAGATCAGTTCTTTTCAAGGAACTTTGTAGAAATGGGACGTTTAAAGCTACAAGCTGGTATCAATGCAATAGAGGAGGAACCTGAGGAATATGATGATGCATATCCTAGCAAAACTACTTTAGCGTGCATGATCAATTCTGAAATTGGTGCTGTTATGTCAGTCATGCGAAGAAATGTTAGATGGGGAGGCCGTTATATGTCTGGTGATGATCAGCTGGAGCACTCCCTTATTCAATCTTTGAAGACCTTAAAGAGGCAAATATTTTCATGGCAGCATCAGTGGCATGCTATCAGCCCAGCCTTGTATCTCCAGCCTTTTCTGGATGTAATTCGATCAGATGAAACTGGTGCACCAAGTACCAGTGTTGCTTTGTCATCTGTTTATAAGATCTTAACTCTTGATGTGATTGATCAAAACACTGTCAATGTTGAGGATGCCATGCACCTGGTGGTTGATTCTGTCACTAGCTGCAGATTTGAGGTGACTGATCCTGCATCAGAAGAAGTGGTTTTAATGAAGATACTACAAGTTTTTGTGGCATGTATGAAAAGCAAAGCATCTGTGATGTTGAGTAACCAACATGTTTGCACCTTAGTGAATACTTGTTATCGAATAGTTCATCAAGCAGGAGCAAAAAGTGAGTTATTGCAGCGGATAGCACGCCACACAATGCATGAACTTATTAGGTGTATTTTCTCGCATCTTCAAGATGTTGGCAACACAGAGCATGCATTGGTAAATGGAAGCTCTACTTTAAAACAAGAGGTATAAGATTTGCACACCATTTATAATTCTTTCTTTTGATTGCATTCTTTTCTTTCTGATTTTTTGATTAATGTCAACTGATGAGGGGGAAGAATAATCAAAGGGATTGTTAGAGAGAATTTGAGGGCTATTTGCTTCTATATTTATTATTATTTCTATTTTGCAAGAGTTATTGCTGGCTATCAATTATTATTTGGTTCTGATCTGGCAAATAAAGAAAGCCACGGTGACTGTCCATGATGGGTTTGAGGAATTGATATATCATGGAAGTGTTTTACGGTATAGTTGTAACTGGATTGTAATTTTTTAGCACAACCTAAAGTGGACTGTAGAAACCTCTCCTTCCCCTCAAACCCACCCCCCCCAAAAAAAAAAACCAAAAAAATCCCCCAAAAGTGAAACACAAAGAATCTGTTTAAGGTTGTGTATGTGTAGATGGGATGGGGGGGTGTGGTTGTGGAAAATTGCTAATATTAACATTAAATTGTGAAGTCTGCAGACATTCATTTGGAATCTTTTAATCATCCTCCCTGAAATGAACAGTTTATGTGCCCATAATTTGAATTTTGATGTTACAGTGTATATGAGTTAATAAATTATTTGTGCAGATTGGAGCATTAAATAACGAGTATGCTTTTGGAAGCAAACAGTTAGAGAATGGGAGCATGAATTCTGAATATGATAATCAGTCGTTACCCACAGACTCTGCTGCCGGTGCTGCAACTGTGATTGATGAAAACACAGCTATTGCTAGTAGTGGCAAGGGGACTGTACCTTATGACATGCATCTTATGACTGAACCATATGGAGTTCCCTGCATGGTGGAAATATTTCATTTCCTGTGTTCTTTGCTGAATGCTGAGCATATGGATATGGGTCCTAGATCAAATACAATAGCCTTTGATGAAGATGTTCCCCTTTTTGCCTTAAATTTAATTAATGCCGCGATAGAATTGGGAGGGCCTTCCATTCGCCAACACCCCAGATTGCTGAGCTTAGTTCAGGATGAATTGTTCCGTAGTCTGATGCAGTTTGGTTTATCAACAAGTGCCCTTATACTTTCAATGGTGTGTAGCATTGTTCTCAACTTGTACCATCATCTCCGAGCTGAACTAAAATTGCAACTTGAAGCATTTTTTTCTTGTGTCATTTTGAGGCTTGCACAAAGCAGATATGGCGCTTCATACCAGCAGCAAGAGGTTGCCATGGAGGCCGTTGTTGACTTCTGCAGGCAAAAAACATTCATGGTAGATATGTATGCTAACTTTGACTGTGACATTACTTGCAGTAATGTCTTTGAAGACCTTGCTAATTTGTTGTCAAAAAGTGCATTTCCTGTAAACTGCCCTTTGTCTTCTATGCACATTCTTGCTTTAGATGGTCTCATTGCTGTTATACAAGGAATGGCTGAAAGGATTGGCAATGGATCTAATATTTCAGAACATTCACCTGTGAATCTTGAAGAGTATACTCCCTTTTGGATGGTTAAGTGTGAGAATTACAACGATCCAAATCACTGGGTCCCTTTTGTCCGTCGAAGGAAGTACATGAAGAGAAGATTGATGATTGGAGCTGACCACTTTAATCGGGACCCTAAGAAAGGTCTAGAGTTTCTACAAGGAACACATCTTTTGCCTGACAAACTTGATCCCCAAAGTGTTGCTTGCTTTTTCAGGTACACTGCTGGGCTGGATAAGAATCTTGTTGGTGATTTCCTAGGAAATCATGATGAATTTTGTGTTCAGGTTCTTCATAAATTTGCTGGAACATTTGATTTCCAAGATATGAATATAGACACTGCTTTGCGTCTCTTTCTTGAGACATTCAGACTACCAGGAGAATCGCAAAAGATCCAGAGAGTGCTTGAAGCCTTTTCTGAAAGATACTATGAGCAGTCACCACATATTCTTGCTAACAAGGATGCTGCCCTTGTATTGTCATATTCACTCATATTGCTGAATACAGATCAGCACAATGTGCAAGTTAAGAAGAAGATGACAGAAGAAGACTTTATTCGTAATAATAGGCATATAAATGGTGGCAATGATCTACCTCGAGAGTTCCTATTGGAGCTTTATCATTCAATTTGTAAGAATGAGATCCGCACTACCCCTGATCAGGGTGCTGGATTTCCTGAAATGACTCCAAGTCGGTGGATTGATCTGATGCACAAATCAAAGAAAACTGCTCCATTTATTGTATCAGATTCCAGAGCCTACCTTGATCATGATATGTTTGCTATAATGTCAGGCCCAACAATTGCTGCCATATCTGTGGTATTTGATCATGCTGAACATGAAGAAGTATACCAAACTTGTGTGGATGGATTCTTAGCTGTTGCTAAAATTTCAGCTTGCCATCATCTTGAAGATGTTCTGGATGATCTAGTTGTGTCTCTTTGTAAGTTCACTACCCTTTTGAACCCATCGTCAGTGGAGGAACCGGTCCTAGCGTTTGGAGATGACACAAAAGCAAGAATGGCGACTGTAACAGTTTTTAGTATTGCTAATAGGTATGGGGATTACATCCGCACAGGATGGAGAAATATACTTGATTGTATTTTAAGATTACACAAGTTAGGACTTCTTCCTGCCCGTGTAGCCAGTGACGCAGCTGATGAGTCAGAGCTTTCTACTGAGACTGGGCATGGGAAACCTATAGCAAATTCTTTGTCATCAGCTCATATGCCATCCATTGGTACTCCGAGGAGATCCTCAGGATTGATGGGGAGGTTTAGTCAGCTCTTGTCTCTTGAAACTGAAGAGCCAAGGTCACAACCTACTGAACAACAACTTGCTGCTCATCAGCGAACCCTGCAAACAATACAGAAATGTCACATTGACAGCATATTCACCGAGAGTAAATTTTTGCAAGCTGAATCTCTATTGCAACTTGCAAGAGCACTTATATGGGCAGCAGGGTTTCCTCAAAAGGGGAGTAGCACACCTGAGGATGAAGATACTGCTGTGTTCTGCCTGGAGTTGTTGATTGCAATCACTTTGAATAATAGGGATAGAATTGGAACACTTTGGCAGGGTGTGTACGAGCATATTTCCAATATTGTTCAGTCAACTGTAATGCCTTGTGCACTGGTAGAGAAGGCTGTTTTTGGACTTCTAAAGATTTGCCAGCGGTTGCTTCCCTACAAGGAGAGCATTGCTGATGAACTTCTGAGGTCCCTGCAGTTAGTTTTGAAGCTTGATGCTCGAGTTGCTGATGCGTACTGTGAACAGATTACACAGGAAGTCAATCGCCTTGTGAAGGCAAATGCTTCTCATATCAGATCACAGTTAGGATGGCGTACAATTACATCACTACTTTCCATCACAGCTAAGCACCTAGAAGCATCTGAGGTTGGGTTTGAGGCACTATTGTTCATAATGTCAGATGGAGCCCACTTGCTACCAGCTAATTATGTTCTCTGTGTAGAAGCTGCTAGGCACTTTGCTGAATCTCGAGTTGGACAGGCAGAGCGGTCTGTACGGGCACTGGATCTTATGGCAGGGTCTGTCGATTGCTTAGTTCAGTGGACTAGTGAGGCTACACAGACAATGGGGGAGGAGGAAGTGTCAAAATTGTCTCAGGACATTGGAGAGATGTGGTTAAGGCTAGTGCAGGGACTAAGGAAAGTGTGTTTAGACCAGAGAGAGGAGGTTAGAAACCATGCTATATTATCACTGCAGAAGTGCTTGACTGGAGTTGATGGTATTTATCTCTCGCATAGTGTGTGGTTGCAGTGTTTTGATCTGGTCATCTTCACTGTGCTTGATGATCTACTTGAAATTGCACAAGGACAGTCTCAAAAGGATTACCGCAACATGGAAGGAACCCTTATCTTTGCGATGAAGCTCTTGTCTAAAGTATATCTTCAGTTACTCCAAGACCTATCACAGCTGTCAACATTTTGCAAAATATGGTTGGGGGTGCTGAGCCGAATGGAAAAATATATGAAAGTGAAAGTTAGGGGTAAGAAGAGTGAGAAGCTTCAAGAGCTAGTGCCTGAGCTTCTAAAAAATACCTTACTTGTAATGAAGACAAGGGGCATTCTGGTGCAGAGGAGTGCCTTAGGCGGTGATAGTTTATGGGAATTGACATGGCTACATGTGAATAACATTGCTCCATCATTGCAATCTGAGGTGTATCCTGAGCAGGATTCTGAGCATTTGCAACATGAAAAGGGTGGTTCGAATGAAGGTTTGGAGCCTGTTGAAGTGGGTTCTGTTAGTCCCAATGACACAGCCAAACGTGAAGATTCTGCCCTTGTTGGTTAATTATAGCATATTAATGGCAAGTCTTCCGGAACCAATTTTGCTGTCTGCCTGCATGAATTCATGATCCCATCCGTGCCTTGGTAATTTTTAACTTCTCATTAAAGGTTGTCTGGGTTCTTATACTGAATTTGCAGAATATTGTGGATTGCATTCACATCTTAATTTTGGCTGGAGCTATTAGTTCAAACTAGTAAAGGAGGGAAACCATGTAATGATAGTTGTTGTTAATTGGTATTCCCCCTTGTATTTGCCTCACGGACGCTTGAGATTACTGTAACTCCTGAATGAGTATATGTGATAGTTATAGCTTTGAGTACCATTAGATTTCTGCCCTTCTAATAGGGTACCATGGAGATTTCCTATGCCGTTAGCGCTACGCCAGGGACAGCTAACTGCCATATTTAGAAGCATAATCTTTTTGTACAGAATTAGAAATTTTTCCTCACTGAAAGATGTATTTCCCTTGGGGAAAGAGTTCTCAGTTGTGGCCTTCAAATCTCCCCTACAGTATCTCAGGCAAAAAGCCCCTCAATGTGGATCATAAAATTTGTAGAAAATACAAATATTATATAAAGGTCTAATTGCATTTTTAACACCTCTGCTTAGAGATGTGCGAAAATACAATTTGTTGTTGTTCTTGCTTTCTTTCAATTAAAAAGCGAGGTTGTATTTATATATGTGAAGCTGATTCATCAACACTAATGTGTCTTCATATGTGCTTGTGGCAGTATGTGTTGGTAGAAAACTTGCAATCACAGAGAGAGAGAACAGAATAGTATGAGTGTAAAGTGGAAAATCTATCCATATCAAGTCTGACTTTGTTTCCTGATATTTTTTAATAACATTAATAATATGGCTCTGACTTTGTTTCCTGATATTTTTTAATAATATTAATAATATGGTTGTCAAAAAAATCGATTTAATATGAGATATGGATTTTGTTCTAACTACAAAATTACAAAGGTAATGTAATTGGCCATAAGCCATATCAGCAAGGCTCTCATCAATTTACAGCAATCCGCCCATGAGGGGAGGGGGGAGGGGAGCAAATAATCCCTAGTCATTAAATTGTAACAGATTCACGAGGGCCACAATTCCTAATCCTGAGCCGCAGTGTCCCATTCCTTATTTCGCCTCCATTCATTATTTGACAGCATTGCCTCCTTGGGGCCTGCTTCATTCCCACCCAAATCAACATCATTATTGTCAGTTGTCTCCTATTACTCTATAGATATGACACAGTTGTTTGGCAACAGCAAAAATATTAGGGAGAATTACTATGAGGTTATAAGAAACAAGTGTAATCACACCCAAAAAAAATTACGAAATGATAAGTGTTAGTGTAATAAATGATAACAGGTTCATACTACTACTTGTTATTAAATGTTTTTAAGAAATTACATTCCTTTTTGTAAACTAAATTTTTCCAAGATATTATGATGATGAGCACTTTTATAATGAAGATTAGTCTCAAGAGCCAAATTCTTCTTTTGATTTTTAATAGAAGAACTAAGTAAATAATTTGTTAATATTAAGAAAATTAGCTAAGCTAATTATTTGTAACAAATATTTGTTAGTTATTTGCAACTTCCCCTTAATTAAAACCTCATTACCATGCACACTCAATAGCAATATTTTGACAAAAAAAATTATAAATTTAGAGTCAAAGTAAATTGAGGTCTTCTATATATTTATAATAAAAACAAACTCCTTATCTTGCTCATAAAATTGAGAGTAGAAGGTAGTAAGAATGAGAAGCCATGAAGCAACTTACTTTTTTCCAGTATTTGGGGTCAAGCTTCAAAGCAGCAACCCTAACTCTGTCCACTTCCACAGGAGTGATGCTCAGTCGGGTGCAGTTTCTAGCATCCTCACCCTCCCTATGCTTCTTATAGCTACTGAAACTCCATGCACCATTCCCCATCCTCTTGACCTTCTCCAGAAAATATACAATGGGCTTATCGCATGGGTCAGGGCCCATGGGCCGAGTGCTGAACATGAAAGGCCCATCACTAAGAGTTCCCCAGGTTCGAAACGTACGAAACCGAGTCTGCAAATCCTTAGCAGTCCACAACGTTGGATAAATCTGTGCCGTGTAACCCCACGATATGGACACCGACCAGTGACGCTTATGGTCGTAGCAGAAACATTGCTGCAATATTCTGGAAGGGTCTATGAGGTAGGCAGCCATGAGCTTGTGTATGGCGTCCACTTGGGTCATGTTTGGGAACACTGGCTCTAGCATGTCAAGGTGGTGCAGTGATACTAATGGCGCCAGTGGGTGTGCTGCCAGAATCCCATATGGGTCCCCTTTTATGTCAAGCTGATGAGCCATAAGCACAGAATGAAACAGCACTGTGAATAATTCATGCCCACTTTAATTAAGATTACACTTGCATCAATATCTCCTATAGATATCAACAAGAATAACTGCACTAAAGCATGAATTTGGATCCAGTCACAGTGTATATGATAAGAGAAGTCTCTCCAGAAAGATAGGAGTTTCAGAGCGCCCACCATACCTAATTCTCTCTCTCTCTCTCTCTCTCTCTCTATACGTGTAACCCAAAGCCCTACAGGAGAAATTAAACTTGATATATAGGGGCATGCATATAGGGAGGAAAAAATAGGATGAGACCCACGTCACAGATTTTATGAGGCTTATTATATACATAATCTAGGCCTGCTTTCTGAAGGGGAGGAGGATGTACGTGGAACCAAATGATGGGGACGCAAGATTTTGAGTATATACCGCCTTCGTCTATGCTTATTATAACAGTTAGACAACTAATTTAAAGAAATTTAAAAAATCAGTTAGGTTGGTTTGTTGTAACAAATGTGTGATGACTTTTCTAAATTATCCTTCTAATTATGTGTATTAAAACTATCATTTGGTAAAAAATCCTTACAATCAATAGGGATATTTTAAAACAAAAACTATGAGTTTGAAAGGTGAAGTGGATTAAGGTTTTTATGACCAAACCCAACCCTCTAACTATGGGTAGCTACCAATCAATTTTGGAACACTTCCCAAATATTTTTTTAGCTAATAATAATCTACATAAAATTAGTGATATTTTTTAACTTAAAGTGTTAAATCTTTGAAAAATCATTAAAAATTTGAAAACTAAACTATTTTTTTACAAATATAAAATATTAAAATGCCACTCATTCAGAATTTAATGATGAAAAGAAGCTTAAAAAAATATTTGGAAAGGGCTCCAAAATGAAGGGCCAGATGGGTTACAGGCAGCTAATACCTCCTTTCCTTTAACTAGTTCTTATATTAAATATGAAAAGATAGTAATGTATTAACAAGACTCATATCCCATATCTTATATCATCATCATCATCATCTGTTTTTCTCCCCTTCTCCCAGTGGTTTCTATATATGTGCTCCTTTTTATGAAGGTGAAACAATTTGAGAGGGGATGGGATCGATGTAAAGACAAGACAAGAAATAGGTCGTGGACACACACACCAATATAATCTCACTGTCTTGGCTCACTATTCTCCTAAACATAAGATTATGATTGAGAAAAAATAAAACGAGTGTATATGTAATATATGCGTACTACATGCCTGGTGGAAGCCCGGTTCTCTGGTGAGAGTTACGCCGAGTTCATTGACACAAGCCCACACCCTCTGATCAGAGCCATAGAAATAGTAATACCTCCGAAGGCATCCATCAAAGATCCTTGATAGCTTAATCGCTAACGCTGAACTGATCGCAAATCCACCACCGCCATAAGCCATGGCAAACCCATGGTACAGATTCTGCTCCACACTCTCCGAATTATCTCCAATATATACCATCTCTCTGTGATCGTACTTCCCCAGAACCGTCGCCAGGTTCGCCGGAAAAAACACGGTGTCATCGTCTCCCATGACGAACCACCTCACGTTCGGAAGGCCAAGCTTGAAGCTCTCCTTGAATATCCGAGATATCCGTACGGCAGCCTGGCCGTGGACGAAGCTTTTCCACCGGTAGTTCGAGATCTTGAACGGAATGGCGCCGGACACATCGTACCGAGGCTCCTTGTCGAGCCAGACAAAGCCTCGGGTGTCATTCGGGAGCCACCAGAGCTTGTTGAAGCGGCTGCGCTCTTGCCACGTGTTCTCCGACCCGGCGATGCAGAAGAGGATATGAGAGATGTTGGTGGGGGCAGGGCGTTCATCTTCGGCGGCGGCCCGGGCGTTGGCCTGGAGGCGGTCGGGGAAGAACCAACGGGAAGGTTTGAAGAATGCAGAGTAGAGAGCGAGCGTAATGGAGACGACAAGACACACCAGAACCCCTAACCTAATCAAAATTACGAAGATATCACGAGGGTTCTCGGAGATTAGAAAGAATCTAGGCGCTTTAATTTGGTCTGGACTAGATTGTTGCAACCGATTGTGACTCATGTTCCTGTTCCATTATCACATGAAACCAGACAGTTAATTACTCAGATAACCATACCACAAAAAATCACACATAGTCAAAATGAAAAACATTTTAATAGGATCGATCGACGACGTACTTCACAACATCGGAAGAAGCGAACGAATGTGTTCCCTGCCTCTGTCTTTGGTCTTTGCCATGTTTTTCTTCTGGTTACTGCTATAGAATCTCCATTAATTCTGCACCTATATCGTTACACAAACTTAGTTCTCCCAGGTTTCCGCGTGATAACGTAGGAAAGGAAGGGCCTTTTAATATGAATATATAAATGCATGCATGCAACTTCATGTCCACGCGTATAGTGATTCCATCATCGAAGCTTGTGTTTCTTCCATAACTGTCACGATCGATTCGACCAATATATGATTACGTACGTGAAAGATAGTTAAGGTTTCTTTCTGCCATATGATTCGTTCTTGTGAGTAATTTAGAAATGATTAGAGAGGTGGGGGAAGAAGTTTCAGAATTCAATTGCTGCAAGGGGCATGTTCTAAAAGTGGAACCTATACTTGAGATGTTAGGAAGACGAAGCCATTATTAATACGATAAATATGCCGGCAAATTTGGCCAAACGGCCAAACTCTCCAGATTTAAATAGTAAATTACTGGGCGCCTAATTGGACTGCATAATTTATGTACACATTTATATACTCCCTCCTGTCTTATTTATAAGACTTTGTTTGTAGACTAAGACTACAAACAAAAGTAGTAATATACTCTTTTTTTTTTTACTAGAACAAAGTGAGAATGAGCATGAAAACCCCCCCAAAAAAAAACACCACCAAACAAAAGTAGTAATATACTCTTTTTTTTTTTTACTAGAACAAAGTGAGAATGAGCATGAAACCCCCCCCAAAAAAAAAAAAAACACCACCACCACCAAAAGAAAGTCACTTTGTCATCCACATAAAATGTAGTAATGAAAATCATTTCCCTCACCTTTTTCATTACTTCAAATTCAACTTTTGTACCAAACACAGCCTAACTTAAAATGTCAAACCTTGTGATGATAAGCTAAATTCTCATGCGCATGGAATAACATATCCACCTCCTTCCTTTTTTTAATGAAGAATTTCGTTTTTTTTTAATGCTTCGTACTATTATTCCTTCTTTAAGTTAATCATTTTGAATTTTTGTGATTTTTAAACTTATTAATAAGTAATGTTACCATGGATTATGCCCCACATCTCCTCTGATACCCCCCAACCCCAAATATTTTTGTTTTTTTAGGAAGAAGCTTAATTTTGAAGAGGTGGGTCGTCCTTTCCACATCCTGAGTTTGTGGATTGTTGACATATGTCCCGAGCACAGCTTGGTACAATTACAGAGATAATCCTATTCAAAATACTGTTAGGCACTAAATATAAACATATCTTTTAACATATATTCACATCTTAATTTGTCATATTGTAATAGATTAGACTCATTTTGCTAGAATTAGTTCACTTTAGTTATTCATCTATTAGTGGATTACATTAGAGATCTAGCCTTTCTCTCCAGCTTCTTTTGTTTTTTTTGTGTGGCCTTTTTCTAATAAATAAAGTAAGCCATTATATTTAAAAATAAATGTATTGAATTAATCCTGATGAAGAACAATATATCCTTTTAACCTCTTTTTTTAAAAAGAAAAAACTAATATGGACAAGCTAATAATTTAAAATATAAGCGAGATTGGACCTTATTTGCCAAAGTGGTTGAATTAAGTTAGTTGGGATTTCTGTTTAGAAAAAAAAAGGCATTTGTCTGCCAAAAAAAGACATTTCAAATCAACTTATTTTCTCTTGCCAAAAAAATAAAACTAATACAAAAATGATAAAATACAAAATAACAAAAACGATGGGCTGGCTTGAAAACCCAGAGACCTTCTGGCGGGGAGGATGATGATAGATGAGCATCCATGCAGGCCAATATACTAATAAAAAGTTCGAACTTGGAGCTATCAGTAGCTTGCTTACTTAATTAATATTGTAAATAGACTTTAGATGCTGCTGCATTTTGTAGCATACCTAAATTATTGGAGCATGTATGTAAATTGAGCAAGAAGATATCTATATCAATAATCAAACAACTATATATAAATTAATTAGTATATACTACTATATAATGTAGGCAGAAGATATAAATTAATGCTGAGTTTAAAATTGATAAGTCCATGCTGACTAATCTTGTTATTATATGCAACGTAACGACTAGAATTGCAGGTAACTTGTCTTTGTATGTTATTAAATTATCAATAATGATGTTTTCATATTCATATAGGCTTGTTTGATCATCTGTATTTTGCCAAAACTTGATTGCCAATTTTTCAAAACGATTGTCTAATACAGAATGTTGTTAAATTAAATTTAAATATTGCTAAACCCAATTGAAAATTGAAACAACTCTCCTAAAAATCAATTTTTTCTCATTCATCTTACTTGAAAGAAATTTAGTAATATTTGAATACCTTTATTAATTAATTATAAAATCCTTAATATATATGTGATTATTTAATGTGACATAATTTTGATTCCTTTGTCTATATTTTTGTCAAGACGATTTCTATGAATAAGTTATTGGGTAATTAAGAAGAGATAAAAATGTATGGAACACACATACATCTCTACTTGGTAGCTTTATTATTTTATTAAATAACCCATACAAAAATCATGCATTTGGACCCACTCATATGAATCTTTATGATTATCCTCCAATGACAAACTGGCCACTAATTTAATCTTCTATATATATATGTTGTCTTTTGCATTAAACCATGCTCTGTTGTTTTCTGATCAATTTAATATGCCTATATTATTTTTCAGTTTCTCTTATTATCATCAAGTTGTGAGACAGGGCGAAGAAGACACACATAGAGAAATTTTCAAAACAGTAATATTATTTTAGTCTCCTGAGTCAAATAATACATCTCCTTCACAACATCAGAAAAATAATTCATTTTTCCTTCCATTCTTGTGCATGTTCTTGCTTACATACGTATATGCAAATATTTACACCATATATATGTGTTTTTCACCTTATTTTTAGAAACTACATACGTTTTCTTCTGGAATTTAGGACTGAAAAATTGTGGTTTACTATAAATATTAATGTATAAAATACTGATATATTACATAGATGGGTTTTGAATTATACTTTTACATTAATTCTAAAAAAATTAATTTCCAAGTCTTTAGGTTCCTATTGAGGGAAAACTATAACTACATGATAAAAAGGAATAAAAAATATATAAGAATATAGACAGGTTAATTCTCTTTCTTAATTCTCCGGGTCACAGATCAATTCTCGAGCTTTGATGAAATCTCATGGATGCAATTGTGACACGTGTTACTTTGCTCGTGGAATCCAAACCCTTCCTTTCTGACTCTTGCGTGCAATATGAAAATGATAGTTAACCTAATTCCTCTAATTGAATAGTAAAATTATATACTAAACACAATGTGGGTAATCCTAATTTTGCCAGTCATCAAGACTTGAAACAATTAATTAAAATATTATAAGTAACTGGGATATATGGTTACGAATATACCTCAAGCTTGGGAACCAGGTAATTATAAGGCATTCAATTGTCGCCCCACCAATTATTTATATCTGGTACATAAACCATTCATGATAATATATAATAATTACTGCTAAAGATGAAGGAACTAGCTGCCTCGGGCTTGAATAGTCAAAGAGTGTGAATATTAAATAAAGATCACATATCTGTCGCGTAATGATTGGTTTTGAATTCGAAATATGCACTTACAGGAACATAAATACGTGAGTACGTCCAGTTGCATTATGTCATGGACACAAATATTAATATTAATTGGATCACTTGTCAAGAATAATTAATTAATTGTGGCCTATGTGCCGCTAGGATTAGGAATAATTAACATTTAACAAATTGACAGGTTTATTATATTTAGTTAATTACTCCTAGTAGTTAAGCCAGTTAAAGGGAATGGCTCTGATTAATCAATAAATATATAATGGACCATTTGCTATTATAATATTCTTCTTCTGTCTCCGAAAGTCCACTAAGTTTATAATAAAAACGGACAAGAACTAGCTTTTGCCAACTTTTTATCAGCAAGTTGACTACTGTATGTGATGCTTACAGATAACAAAATTTGATAAGAAAACATTAATCACACTCATCAACATTATTAAGCTTTTGTTTTCTAAGTATATGGGTAGACTGTCTAACTAGTTAATTACCTAGCTCATTAATTAGGAACGAATATAAAGATTCCTTTTAAAAAATTAAATTTGATTTTTTTGAGCAAAAAACAAAATCAAATTTGATGACTGGCCTGTTAAGAAAAAACCGGAGAAAAATTCTCCACTAAAAGTTTCATTAGTGAAAAAAATATTATAATTTTTTATACAGAGAAAATACTGATAACATGTAAATTTTGTACTGTCAATATACTACTATTCTAATTTAGGTTCAATAAAAATTTTACTGGGAGATTTTTCTCAAATTTCTCGCCTCTTAATTACTACTTGAAGATATTATGCGACGCATTTTTTTAGGACCATCAAAGGTTTTACTGATTAACTAACTGGTGTAGAACAATAAATTTTTGTTTTTTTTCTAATCAAAATCAAATTTAAGATCCAAGTAAGGATCCCGAGGAAATGAAATACTCCCTCCGTTCTTTATTATAAGAGACAAATAAACAAATTACGTTGACAAAAAAAACAGTTAAAATTAGTTGAGGACAATTAATGTGTAAAAAGTATAATATTTTTTCCAACAATGCCCCCATTAATAAGGAGAGAGAGTATGAGAGAGAACAATTAAATTATTAAAAGAAAGAGAAGTGGGAGGGAGAGAGAGTATGAGTTGGAGACAAAATAAATAGGGGTAAAATAGGAAATCAATACACAAAAAAAATAGAGACAACTTTTAAGTGTCTCTTATATATGGGAACACGCCATAAACATCAAATGTCTCTTATAATAAGGAACAGAGGGAGTACTTAGCTAGGAAGGTCTAGATTTTTTATCTAAAAGAAGGGAGTAAATTTTTAATATCCAAATCCAAATTTAAGTCTTACAAGTAATTTGTTGCTTCACTACATCGACCCTCCTGCGCTTTGCCACATATCATAACATACTAAAAAAATAATTCCTTTTAAATGAATCCACCTGTATATATATTTATTCTTTTGAAATTACATAAAATTTTATTTTAACCTCTTAATTTTATAAAATATCTTTTTAATATTTTAATTATAATATTACTAACAAAAAAACGTTAACAAAACATTCATAAACTTCATGTTTTAAATTTAATTTTTTTGAACAGTATATTCATTAATCACAAAAGAACAAAGTCAAGGTTACAAGCAAAAAAAAAGAGGCTTCTTTCATATGGAAAAGGAATCACTGCAACACTTTGAAATATCACATGCAAACGAGTTTTTTCCTGCAGTATATATCTCTGTTTACATATTTGCTTCTTTCTTTTTTTTTCCCCCTTTTATTTTCTCTTGGGCTAGCTTCGGCTTCTTTCTCGTGCCATTTATCTTTATTTTGAACCAAAAAGTCAAGAGAAGGAACAGACAAATCAGACGTGCCCTCTAATATACATGATACTGTAATGGAACAGAAACAGTAGGCACAGATTTAAATGCTCCAATTAATGTTCATATATTTAGCGTGGACATGTGATATATTCTCCCCCCCCCCCCCCAAAAAAATATTCATACAGTTTAATTTGAGAGAAAATAATACAAGAGAATTTCATATTTTTATCTATACTTTTCCTTGAATATATGTATTTTCTGCATTTAATTGCGAATGGAGAGAATCTGAATGTGTTTGTAGGGTTGGTGAAAGCCTAGAGGAAGCAGTTTGCATCATCAGTATCATCATCATCATCATCATATATACTCAATTTTTCTTATTGCAATGATATATATAATTAAACAATTAGGGTTCTCTTTCATTCGTGTGATGCAAGACAGTTGCCTCATTAATGGGACCCCACTGTGTACATTTCCAAAAATAATACAATTAATTTAAGAGGGGCTCTCTCTATAACTATAGCAAACCCAACAAAAAACCAACAGTACTATAGTTCACTAGAAAAGCCAAAAGAGACGCAAAGCTTATTGCAACGCCACACACCTTTTCCTTCCTTCTGACCTCTTCAGCTTTTTCGTTCCCCCTCTTGTATATAGCTACACTCTTAAGTTGCTTTCATATATTCAATTCCCCTCCATCTATTTTTCCCTATATAAAGCTTCCATCATTAGACCTTGTTCTTACATTTTCACCTTCAGAATAATGGAGGGATCTCACCTTCATCATCATCATCACCATCATCATCAGTATTTGATGTGGCTGAAGAGGAAGCAAATGTTGAGGTCACATATTGAAGCGGCTAGACCATGGGAAGAGAGGGCTTTTGCAGAAGACGCAGCTAGGATACTTGGTGGGTACGTTTGGCCTCCGAGATCCTACTCTTGTAGTTTCTGCAAAAGAGAGTTCAGGTCTGCACAAGCTCTTGGGGGTCACATGAATGTTCACAGGAGGGATAGAGCTAGGCTCAAACAGAGCCAACAAAGTGTTCCTAAGGGATCTTCTGATTCAGATGTAATCGTCGTCAATGGAAGGGAAGAAGATTTTGCAGGCTTCAGTCATGGGAATAATAATAATAATTATGTTGATACAGACCTGTCCGTGGGATTACTACCTGCATCAGCTGAAGAAGCTTTAAGTTGCAAGAAACCCAAGACTTCCAATATTTCTTCAGTACAGCTTCCTGTCCTCATCAAACCATTCTCGAACGATCACGCAAGCCTGGTTTTCCAATCTGCAGAAATGGTAATCGGAGTTAATAAGCCTAAGATGGAAGACTTGGATCTTGAACTCAGGCTGGGGAAGCCACAGAAAGTTAAGTGATATTAGGTTACACCACACATTATGTTTTGTTGGTGTTATATAATGTAATTCCACAACTCCTAGTCTATCTTTCTGTGTTTTTGTTTTTTCTCTTTTCCAATTTGAGTTCTATGTGGGTTGGAACTCATAATTTCCAAAACTAAACCTGAATAGCATGATAAGGTTTACTTTCTGTAAATGTTTGCAGACTATTTCTGTTTCCAGCTCGCTCATCATATCTCTATATTGTTTTCTTGCATGTACATATCTATATAGTTGTCTTCTCTTTTCTGCTTCTGAGCATAGAATCATCGGTATGGTAACTGCGCGCAGATCAGTGACGGCAAAAGACAAAGGAATAAGAAGTTAGCTATATAACTATAAAGACTGGATTCCTTTCCAGCTCATCTCACTGCGTGGAAATATTGGAATAACATGTATAAATTATTTGAAAATATAACGAAATATTGAATTGGACAACTCTAATCCGCTCCCTAGGGTTTCCAAATAGAAACAGATGCCAAGAAAGATGAACAAAAGATAGCCTTCAGAAACACCCAAGATGGATTTTTTTTTTATAAAAAATGCATATATGAATCAAGTGGAGAGATATTTAATTTTTAATTCGTTTTTCAAAACTAAGTGAAAGATTTCTTTGCGTCTTGTCGCATATGCTTCTGCATTCAAGTACAGTTCACACCAAGAAGTTACGATACCCGCAGTTAACTGTTAGTTTAAGTTTAGACAGAAGTGAGAAAGTGATCAAAAAGGAAGGAACTTTGACTGTAGGATAAAGAACTGACAGTACGTACATGACAATTAAAAGTCACTTCAGCCATATATCTACATAGATATATTCCAGAAAACTAACAGTACATACAAAAAATGAATAACCCGTGTACAGTTGTATGTATTACTATACTACAGGTTATCTTTATCAAATATGCACATGCCTGACTTCGTTGTTCGTTCCTATAATTAAGTTGCAATATCGCTTGCTGTTTGTATCCCACCACTCTTTCCTAACGCTTCCAAAACTCCAACCAACCACACGGAATCAAATTGAATATAATATATCAAAGAGTACAGAAATATTAATTTAGCTAGCTGGCTAGTTCGGCATAGAGAGGACAATATATATCACATCATTGGCTTTATTAGCGAGTCATTGTTTTCACCATTGGCGCGATTTGTATATATCCGTGTTGTATTCGGATGCTCTAAATTAAAACAGATCCATACAAATAATTACAGAAGAAGAATGTAGCATCTAGCAGATTATACAATGATCTAATCAAGTGCGCTGGTGAAATGAATGTTTCGGATGGTAATTGATAGCACATATATCCACTTGAGTGAGTTTCTATGTAGCTACTAAGAATTTCTCTTGTTACACCGGCCAAAGGCCTCAACCAACAAACTAGGTAGGAGCCTGAAAATGTCCATATATTCATTATGTTTCGAAGCTCGAGGCTTTTCTTCTTATAGTAATGTAAAAAACAGTGTTAGCCACCTTAGTATGATACCGACGGTTCGTAGAGAATACACAGCGACGTCATACTACTGTCTGTTTCTTCAATCTTTCTCTGTAAGGAAATTTGATGAAACATCTATTTTGACTTGATGTTCTTCTCTCAGTTTGCAGAGAGAAAAACAACAGAGAGAGAGGCATTCCTCTGTGTAAATGGAATTAATAATTCCTGCCATAATTTCAATATACCCCCTTCACAAAATATTTTTCCCATTATAGCCTCTGACTATACGAGTTTACTTTTCCTCTACCTGGGTTCACATAGAGACACATAGGAGAAAGAGTGATTAATGAAGAAGATAGAAAGTTGGGGTTACAGGGTCTGATTCTGAGAGTGTATCTTATGTGTGGCTCGCAGATTTAGTCAGGGAGCTCACATGGGGCATGATGATGTGTGTGTGCTTTCAATGTCTCTTTTGGGGCATCAATGAGAGAAGAATTCAGATATGAGAATGAGGAATTGGGGATATATACGTTATGGCAAGTTTTGTTTCTTTATTTCGGATGCTTTGGAGAATGAAGTGGATATTTCGTACCTGTCGAAGTAGACGAAAGCTTGATCTCTATATATCTGGCTAGCCCGGAGAGAGTCTAGAGGGTGGGTTTGACAAATGCAAGTTCATAGCTATAGCTATAGCACGTGTGTGTGTAGATATTAATTAGAGCTTTGAATTGTGAAAACAACTACACAGACATTTCGTCATATAATTAATCTGCATGATGGGGTAATGAAAGACACCCTTGATATGCATGAATCATGAATGACACTTCACGAGCTTCTTCTTCTTCCTATCTTTTTCAACCTCAAAGTCCCAGAACCTCGAATGAGTTGTAATATAATAGCATGTTCCGCATGGTCCCATTTTTTGTTCCTTTGACAAAAAGGAGAAAGGATTATATCAGTTATATACGCACCTAAATGCATGTTCTGGACACTCTTCAAAGCCAATAATTGCTTTCGATCGTTAGCGCCTTGATGTTCCTGGTTGAACGCCTAAATCAGCTCAATCTTAGAATTCAAAACCCAAAAACACATATATGCCACTTCTTGAGGAAGATAAACTAATCACATCACCAACCGCCTAGAAGTTAGCATATAAATTCAAGGAATAAGAGCTCACTGATGATTCTGTTTTTTTCTTTCTGTTGTTGGGTTATGCTAAGTGATAGATTAACCAGCACAAAAATGGATGATTATAGGAGTAATTTACATTTATCAGGATATGCATGGCTCGTTTTATTATCAATATCTTCCTTTTGCTTCTTAGGGAGCTAATCCGCATTTTTATTTTTACTACTACTACTGCTAAAACATAGGCATCTTTTTCTTAGAGATAATCCCATTTGAGATACTGTCAGGCACTAAATATGGACATCTGTCTCAATCAGATTAGAACCTTGTTGCAGTGGAGTTGGAAAATTTGTGGCATTTGGGCCTTGCTTGCTTGGTAGGCCCAAAAGTACGCCTGCTTTGTCATTGTAAGCATAATATATCACATAAAATGTTGTAAATTAACGATCTCATTTTAATTTCTCAAATTTACTGGCAGTGATGGGTTTTTCAATCAAAATACATTAAGTATATAAATTTTATAAAAATATCGTCATTAAATGATTTGATTCAATATATATCTCATTATTTTGACATGATTGCGGGATTTTATACTTATCAGGTTTTAATTGAAGAATTTTATGGTTACATATACAAAAATAAAATGGGGGTCACCGGGTCAGTCGGGAATCACTCGTAGAATCCTTTTTATTTATGAGTTTAATAAGACAATAGCTTCCGAGTTTGTGTGGGGATAAATATTTGATGTCCAAATTGTATATTGCATTATTTTGTGAGATTTTATTTTTTTAGGAAAATGAAGAAAAGAATCTCCCTAAAAGTCGCAAAGAGATGTGTTTGGGGACATGCCAGCTCACGTTTCTTCTTTAGCGTGGAAAGCCACGAAACGTGTCGTAGATTGGAGAGAAGTTGTAACTTTTACGTTGACTTTGGCCACGGTGCCTGATTAATCGACAACGCATCCATAGTATTAATTATTAAAAAAATATTATTCCCTCCAGAATTTTAACTGAGTCAACCTTTTATAGTCATGCAAATAGGAAACTGAAACGACAAGAATGCAAATTATTTCTAATGTTAAATGTGATCATAGGTTCGGTAGTTGGGACGTAGAATTTTGGTGACTTTGATGAAAGAGTGAATTTTTTAGTCAGCAAAATCTATAAACATGTACCAAAAATATTAATTTGCATTCTTAATTTTTAATCAAGTCCCCAAAGTTTTGAAGGGATGAGTCATAAAAAAATAAGTAAAGAAAAAAGTTACAATGGCACAACAAGAGGAGATTGATTAAAAATTAGATGAAATTATAAAAATTTAACCGAACCAAGCTAACATAATCTGATAGCTAAGGCTTTAGTCCAGGTAAGACCACTCATTCTCAACTCATCAACGGGCCATATTGGCTGAGGGAGATAGAATCCTTCAGACTGAGTGAGTTCTGGTTGCAATTTATTTGGAAGAGAGGCAATAAAAGTGTTCTTGAGATTAACATCATTAGCTCCTCCGAGCATATAGTATTTTTCAGACATTCTTTGAAAATTAGATAAAAACATGGAGATTGATATTCCCTAAAAAGGATCTAGAGGGAAAATAATTGCCGGCTCGGGGTATAAGAGTGTAAAATAGTAATAGATTGTGGCTTGAAAGGTAACTGCGACATGGTCTGTGGGAAAGGATAGACAGAGAAGGAGACGAAGGGAGGCAAGAGAAGAATAGAAGCCTCTTGAGAAGATGATGATATTTTTGAATAATGTGGAGAATATAATGTGAAGAGAATGTAGAGTATGGTTTATTCACAATGAAGAATGCGGAGCATTGAAATGAATAAATTAAGAATGCGAGTCACAAGGAGGCGTAAGCCAATTGATATGAGTTGAAAAATGGCACCGCGGGAAGTGACATGCCTGATATTTATTGAAAAGTGTATCAAAGCAACCCAAAAATATATATACACTTATATATGGCAAAAAAAAAAAAGAAATATAAAGGAAAAGAGAATGATAATAACACGCATGATGAAGGCCGAAGGAAGGAAGGAAGGAGAGGGACACGTGGTAGATTATAATGGTAGAGCATGACGGATCCTGACCCAAGGATATCCTTATCATGTTGCCGCTCTCATCCTATGTATGAATCACTCGTGTTGCTGGTCCAAAAAAATAAAATAAAATCACTCGTGTTACCTTTATTTTTAAATATAAAAATTAGTTTGCAGCGTAATCTAGTGTTGATAAAAGTATACTACTACTTCTACTCTTTAAATACAAAGACTAACTGATTAATTTAAATAGATTAAAAAAGTTAGTTAAATCAGTTATTTATAATAAATATGTGTTATCTTTCTTAAAATATATTTGCTAATTAAGTGTATTGGTTAGAACTATCATTATTACAAGGACTACCTTAAAAAAATAA